TATGTAGCTCTCTCTTGATACTGTAAGGCTCCTGAGAAAGTTCCTCTTGTAACTTCCCAGAGCTGTGTTTTCAGTTCAGCTCCAACACCTCGAGATTTCTCCGTTACACCAATCTAGCTCACACAAAACAAGCTAGTTTTTTAAATATTTTTTTAAAGAAATGTCAAAACTGGTCAGTTGTCCGGAAAAAAAAAAGATTTCCAACAGTACCGTTAAATAGACAGAGAGTAATGATCTCAATAAACTGGTCGGTCCTTCTGTAGTGACGCGACTGTTAGTGACAATGTCAAAAACAGTTTTACTATGCTTTAGCAATCTCCTCACGAAGAAGTATTTGTTCGGAGACATATACCAAGCTTAGAGCAAAGTTTGGGACGTGCCGGAAACTGCATGTTTCAACAAAACTGCGTAAAACTGCGTTGATCGCTGATGATAATCCGTAGGCCGAAAACAATCTGAAAATTACGGCAGTGACGTAAACTTTCCTCTTGAAAAGATGAACGAACAGATAATTTCTTGATGTCCGTTCTCAGGGTGTCTGTAAAACATTAAATGAGTATTTCAGGGGTATCCCATATACCATACCGGGTTAGGAAAATACTACAAAACTCAGAAATTCCGCTAAACATAAGGACATTCTAAGAATTTAATTGTGGTGGTGCAGGTATTGTTTGATCAAAATATGTTATTGCACGATTGCTTATTAGGATGGCTAGACTTCTCGACTCCTTTTTTGTTTATTTTGTTGCATGAGGAGAGGGGGATAATTTTTTTTCAACTTAAGAGTCTTTCCACTCATTTTGACCAGTCTTATAATGAGAAATTAACTAAAAACTTGAACTTAGGTTTGAAATTAAGACCTCATTTTGTTCTTTTAACCCAGACTGTTTTCAAACCTCTTTCTTAACGTGATAACATCTTTTTTCTGTCGGGAAAAAAAACTTTAGTACGTGCTCTAAGATCCACGAAACTTAATTGAAAGTTATCACGCTTTGTTGGATTTATTTAAACTATATCTGATGTCCTTCCTTTTCTCTTTTACTTTGATTTACTTACTGACGAGATGTTATTAGCACACCCAAGTCAAAGATATTTTTCTTTACCTGACATTTTAGGGAAATTACTCGCAAAGAATAAGTTGACTGTTTATAAACGAAAGTCAACAAACCAACAGCTGTGAGCTGTAAACAAAGGACATGTTACTTTCAGTGAAATTACTGTTTGAACAGGTACATCTACGTCTAAATTCGCACTGTACAAAGGAACTGCGCCAGCTAACTGAAATTTACATGCAACTTTATTTCAGCGCGGATACAACAATTACAACATATAACTAAATCAATAAATCATTTTCTCATCGCCTGATAATGAATCAGGAATCTGACCAACCACAGAACGGTATCAACAATTAGACCATGATCACTTATTTTAAGTAACGCCTACACGTCGTAACAGAAAACGCGATTTCAACTACTGTCGGTTCTCCTCTGCTAAGTTTTGTCAGTACAACTTTTGTGAATATAAAAAAGCTGTCGGTGATTTGAAAAAGTCTAACTCAACATGGGTCACCACCCAAAATATTTTGGGCCGATGGGTGGCGATCGCTATGCTGAAATCAAAGCATTGGAAATGGAACGAAAAATGTATTTTTCTACCTTATTTATCATCAGCATGACGCTGTTGGCTCTAGGAATCGTGGCAAACGTTATTGTTTGTTTTGGTCTGTACAGATGTAGGAATAGCAGATCTCCTACAAAGTTGTCTCAATTCTTCATCGTTCAGTTGGCCATAACAGATCTGGTGTACAGAGCTGTGAGTGTCATTCGGGAAAAAGAGGACAAGAAGCAGGATCTGAGTTCAAAGCACTGCAAAATCGCCATATTTTCCCAATTTTCATGCGCTGCAGTGTTGTTTGTTCTCTTAACGGCAATCGCTTTGGATCGCTACGTTCATATTCTCTATCCTCTTCAAAGTTTGACGATGAACACCAGAAAATATCTCACAATATTTTTCATCTGGCTGTATGCTTTCTTGATTTCTTCCGGTTTCATCGCAAGTGCCACCCCGGCTTCGAAAATCTTCAAATTTCCTCGACCAAGTATTCCATATTCTTCACGAAATTTAACGACAAATAACTCCAGAAGTTTTGAATACAAACCTCGTCACACGCACTGCGTCCCTGGAGTCTCGGGTTCAAGGGAGCGAAAAGTTGCCTTCACGATGTACTTCGTGTTCGCTTTTTTATTTCAGCTGTTCTTAATTGTACTTTTCTACACCAAGATAACCATATTCTTATGGAAAAGAACGAAAAAGAACAACACTGTGAACAGAAGTGCTGCGAAAGCAAAGCTACGAGCTATTCAAATGTTTATCCTTGTGGTATTTAGTTTTCTTATTAGCTGGGGACCAATAATGATTCTGGATATGTATGCCTCATATTCCATCAAAAGGTTGGGAGTATTTCATAAGTTTCCTTTGAGACCACTATTTGATTGTGTTTCACAAACAAGTTCCATACTCAATCCGTTCATATATGCGTTTGGCGACGCAAATTTTAAGAGGGGCTTCCATCTTTGCTTTCGTAGAAGGCAATGTGGCGGGCAAATTACTCGAGTTTTGCCTGCCACAGTGAAAGAATCTTACGTTGAAATGAGTAACCAGTTAAGTCCAAGCATAAGAGTTCAATAGCCGTCGCCCCACATTTGCAAACAGTGGATCTTCTGTCCCAGAGAACATTTCACGCAATCTTCCCTGTAATTTTTTTATGTAATTTAAGTAGCCATAAACGCAGTTTTGGACGAAAGTCTGTTTTGTCATTGCAAACAAAGACAATCTTTTCCCTCAGTCTTTATAATTTTTCGCAGTTTAGCTATGAAAGAAACATAATTTAAAAAGTGGAGCAAGATCATTATCATAAATCTTTTGAAGCTGAAGTTGGTTTATTAACAAGCAACTGTACTGTACTACATTGACGAAAAAAATCGTTCATGAACCAAACGTTATCATTCTTGATATAAATAAATTGAGAGTTTTTAGTGCAGAATTAGGCGTGTTAAAAATACAATCAAATTTTCAACCTCGCGGTAGAATCAACGAATCATTCCTATCAAAACTCACAGGTGTTACATCGTGAAGTTGGATTGTTCTGACAAAGTTTCAAAGAGGTGGGAATCAAATGATTTGCATCGTTAAAGCGATATTTGCGGTTCAGAAATTTTTAATGAAAGACAGAACTTCTATTGTTTGGAAGGTGCTCTGTCTAAACATTTACTTTGTGGTTTATTATCCCAACTAATCAGGGGTTTTTATTTCTAAATTTCCCCTCCCTCAAGAAGAAAAAGGATACGTTTTTTGTTTAAACGCCTACCATCAACCTACCAGCAATTAAAATGATTGTTGACCGAAGACCAATTTCATTGTACAATTTGTATAGGTTATCACATGATCCCGAGTGCAATTTGGGATAATTTAGCACGAGCAAATTTTTCAAATGTTAGGGCTCATGCTATTTGTAGTCCTTGAAAAATTTGCGATCTCTAGTTAATAATATACAAGCAAAAAAAACTGTGCGATTTGTGATCTGGAAAAAGGAAAACACATGGATGTGGCTTTCATTAAAACTTTTCACACAACAGTGGGTTATGGCCTCACAAGTGTTAAGAAACAAATTAGTTGTGTTTCCGACATGCCTTTTTCTTAACTTGGCTCGGATCACATCTGCCAAAACTGGAAAAAATCATTGGATGTATAAATAATATAACGAAATAGACACAAACGCATGCATTTATATCGAGAGTTTGCTAACTGAATCTTGTAAATTTGGTGAAAGCAAGATACTGCCGAAATGTAATAGTACAGGGAATGAATATTTAACGATTATCTTGATTGTGATTCTCAACAAATTAAAGACGTTGTGGCGACTTTTGGCTTAAAAAATGGTCTTAAGCCAACTATTTCGATTTATGAGCCACGAGCGAGATTTTCTGAAAAATGGCAGTGTATTTGCAGTGTTTTACTCTTAAAATACGTAAATGTTTTTCATTTTAGGAACGAGTTCATGACCCTTACCTTCTTTCCCTTTGCCATCCCTTTTTAACAGGCAGATTTGCCCATCGTAAATCGAAGGCAAAAAATTTACAACTTATGTGTACAGTCGAAGCTTACTTCACGGACACCCGCGTTTAAATATACGGACAGTTCTCTTGGTCCCTGACAAAACCCACAAAAATAAGCTCTTTTAAAATTTCCAATAATTCAGTGCCCTTTGGGCTTACTAGACGATACGTCACAACTGTCGGTTCCATCATTTGCGTGTTTGGTTCTCAGATAATCAAGAAACGTGCCCTCAAATACGTTCAAATCGTTATTTTTCCTTTCTTTCTAGCTTTCCTTTGTTTTCAGCTCTTAAATATCACAGACCAGCTGTAGTTTTGTGTTTTCATTCGTCTTTTGTCCGCTGTTTCGGTTTTGAACATCTCTATACTTTCAGCCCATGTTTATCCCTCCCAGTCAAACTCCCCCTTATTATTCCCCTGAAGCTAAGCTGCATTGTTATTTGTAAACAGTGTACGATGGCCTGAAGGTTATTGAGTTCTGTTCTACTTCTGTCTTTACTTGCATCAGTAAAATGCTGTATTTTCACTAATAAGACAACTTCACACAGACACCCGTTAGTACCAAAATATTCTTTAGTTTCCCTGATTTGGTTCAAATTAGCAAGGATTTAATGTACCTTACTGAAGCTGGAAAATTCATAGCATTCGGCGGTAGAACATACATCATGTAGGCCGATGACAGAGTCGATTCGTGTCTAAAAACGATTGTCACCAACATGAATAGAACGAACGAACCGACGATCGAGCAGAACAATTCATTGGCACCATGAAATTAATATTATGGCGCGAAACAGATGTTTATAGATCCAGGTCCTCTCGGGCAAGTGTTCAGGTTTGCAAAACGTGACAATCATATGTTTAGAGTTCGAGGTTGTGAAAATCGCATGACGTTTTCATGAGCGGAAACTAGTCTTCATTATGCTAAACGAGAGGAAACCTAAGTAAATGCAGTGGGCCATACAATTCCCGTGGTAAATTATCATTTCCTAAGCGAAAGAAAGAGGCAAGAGGAATAACAAGGTGAAAGGCTTGTGTACAAACTAACAAAGATACACAATATTGACCGACCGGGATCAGGTAAGATGAACTTTGTAAACAATCTACGTCCATGAATTGCCCACACCTTATGCCTTCAAACCCTTTGTTATGTTCATAAGAACTCCAAGTCTGCGAATTTTACAGGTCCTGATATCCAGAAAAAAATTGCTTTTTTTTACGAAGAGGGCAGAAGTTTCGAACTGCGTAACGCAATATTCCTGAATATTCACCAGTTTGCCCTAAGGCAGTGCGAGTAACGTCATATTTGCTTTGTGATTTATCTATCTCTATAGATCAAGATTGTTAGGCGACGAATCCATTTTACATTTTTGAAGTTTTGCTAATAACTTGATTGAATATTTTGAGCTACGAAGAATAATTTTCTCATTTTGCGATCCAGCTACTTAGTAATAGCCCACAAAGAGCCACATAGAGCCTCTTTGATTATGTCAGGTTACATAGCAGGCGAAATGTAAAGATTTATTTACAAATAAAGGGTCGTGAGTGTTAACGAAAAATTCTGATTTAGTATAGAATTGAAAAAGGAATGATTTTGAAAAAATCTTCCTTGCTTCTGTGTGTGTTCGCTCGTTTCTAAGGTCTCAATGGCCATTTTACAGCTAACGGTAAATGTCACTCTCTTGTTGTCACTTGAAATTTTTTTAGGGCTCACCCTTTTTACGATTGTCGGTTAAAATTTGTCAATTTTTACGTCCAATGGATAAATTTCTTTGCCGTTTTACGGCTATCAGTTAACAACATTGAGACCTTCTTTCTACTGCCGGTTTCTTAGGAGTTTTCTTGACGGATTTGCGGCTGTTTTTTTTATTTTTTTTAACCCCCATGTATCTTTTCCTTAGTGTTTTGACAATTTAACACCTTTTATTCCCATAAAAATTCTCATATTTCGCTTGTTTCGTAACATCATGGCTCGAATAGTATGCGACCTTGGGCAACTGTAAATAAGTCATTATCAGTACTCTACACAGCCTCGAAGGGGTTGACCGTTAACTGTAAAACGAGCAAAAAATTTAGCCTTAAGCGTAAAAATTAACAAATTTTAACCTTTAGTCGTAAAAAGTTAACCGAAAAAAAAAATTCAATCACAAAGGAAGGAGGTTAACTGTTAATCGTAAAATGACCAAAATTTTAACCGGTAGCCATAAAACCCACCACCCCAGTGAGACCCTTTATGTAGACGCAACAATCACTTAACTTATTCCTGCTTCCGGGCATGTTTTGACCGCCCTCCCGCATACAAATTTCTTTAGAAACGCAAAAGAGATCGCACCAAAATCAATTGAAAACGCGAAAGGGTTGCTAGGTTGCCACTGACAACGAGATCCTTTCTGATTTATGTAGAAAACAACGTTTTCTGTTTTAAAAATAGCCTTTAAATTGTGGTTGTGACACAATTTAAATGACCTTATAACCTCTTCATTCAACATTGTCCTTGTCTAACGCATCTATTATTAAGCCGGTCTCTGCTATCAAACAAAATCACGAACTGTCGTCACTATCAAGTCGATGCTGAAATGCCAGTGATCATATAAGAGATATGACAGATGTTCGCTTCACAAAACACTTGTTGATTTAATTTATCCCTTAGCTCGAGGAAACGTGCCGCAGATGGAAAGAAACAATTAATTTTAAGCTCGATTGAAGAGCTTACTTATTGTCTCTAGAGAAAGGCGCAAACGGTTTCCCACTTGCTGTGACCGCATCTAATTTTGTTTTTATCACGCATGGTTGCACTGTTTCTCCAAACCACTGACCACTAAGTCTAACCGACTCTTTTCAGCTTTGCATTGTGGATAAATCCTTCTCTTATTGAGCCGTTCAAGACCATTTTAACTGAGTAAATCAGGTGATTTCATTGACCTGCTAGAGTAGTTTAAATTTTCATTGCATTTGCCGCTTGCCCTCGGGGCGTAAACCGTATAATCAAATATATTGGGTGCTGAGCGGCCTCGCTAAGAGATCGAAAGATGGGAGAATGGAGAAAAAGTTCAAACTTGCAAGGATCAATGCGGCTTTTCTTTGACTTGGAAGAACAAATATAATTTCATTTGACAACTTGAATCAGCAATGATTATCAGTCCTTTTCGGACGTGGCCGTCTGTAAAAGCCACCGTCTCTTATCATAAGGATTTCGCTTTCAGGTCCCTCAGATAGAAGCATGTCGATTTTACCGTGTTCTCAGTCCCACCCACCGTGCCTGTGTTAGGGGCTCATTATGTTGTCGATGGGAACTGCTCCGACTAAATTCGTGAGCGTCCGTCAGAAGTGACAAGGTTAATGATCACTATGGGTTTGGCCGCTGCATCGCATATATTTCGCTTAGCTTTACTATCCCAAAAACCCCTGCAAAACCTAATCGGATTTAAAGTGAACTCTCTAAAGGTCAAAAGGATCTGGGTCACAGCCAGTATATAAACTTGGAAAGTAAGCTTTCAAGTTCGCCGTTGTATGAAGATTAATTGTACCTCATCTTGTTCTGTTTTGTTTTATTCTTGATACCTCGGTGTGATATGTATATAAATACAATCTTGTATGACGATTAAATCGTAACGCAAGTGGGACAGATTATGAAGTGGGATATGTGTCCTCTGCCGGTCATGCGCATGTACTAAAGCCTGGATCCAGCGCCAGCGTATCAAGCTTGAAGAAAAGATTAGGATGATGTAGTAATTTGCTCCAAGATGGAGAAAGGTCACAGTTGAAAACGGTAGAATTCCCACGGACAGATTCTTTGATTCTTACAGTGTTGACTTTTTCAAAATCCGTTTGGTTTAACAATTGTTTTGGTCTTATTTAGATAGACAGTCGACTTGTGACAATTCGAATTCTTATGTTGATTGATTGATTGACTGATCCTGAATAAGAATTAATTAGTGAAGGGAGAAGTGACATATTGATCCTCGAATGAAAGGCCATTTTTAAACTGAAAGATGATTCTAACGAGGTAGAGTTGAAACAAACTCTTTATAATAAAATTCTCCCATTATTATCATCAACTGTCATAACTCAAATTTTTTTATTTGACAATCCCTGAACTGTTTTGCTGTGAAGTATCGCTCTCTGATCAAGATCCTTATCACACTTTCTACCGCGCATGCTAACTAAATATCATGTCAAGCATGGTGAATGAGTGCAGTGATCCGTGTATGGAAGACCTAGGACTGTAGCGCTTCAAAATGAGAGGTTAGTGTGATCCTTTGCATGTTAGAAGTAATTAGTTGTCTGCGAACTGACTCGGATTAGTTATTTATACTGCCAACCGGTAGAAGTATACGGGAATTACTTCAAACAACAGTTTGATATCAATTGTGCAATCGTAATTAATTCGCTAAGTGTTTAAACGCTGTGATCAGTAAAATGATTGGCGAAACTGAGTTTGGAATTTGCCTTTCGAAGGTATCGAAATTGTAAATTAATAATCCGTCGTTTAGTCGAGAACAAAAATCAAAAGCGCGAACTTAAAGGCGAAAAAATTCCTCAGATTCAGATGATTTTATGGTTAGTATTGACACAGAGTAGACCAGAATGATTTGTAGTAGTGGAATGACTCGGAGAATCGTATTCCAACCGGCTAAAGCACGCTAGAAATTATATTCTATGAAGGTAACAAGAATGTTTACTCTTTGAAGTGCTTTTTCGGCGTAAGGCGATGCTATTTGTAGGAAATATGGTGTGGCCATTAGCTTTGTTTTGTGATGCGAAACACAATTATTAACACAAGCCGTGTTAGCCATGAATATGTTAATAGGTTTGTCACACACGCTGTCGGGTCAAGTGAAGACATCTCCGTAACCTTTCGGGTCTTGCGTGTTAATGGCACTCTCTTTATAGATCGGAGCAGAATAATCTCGCGTTGAGTTTTAGCAAGTTAGCGGACCGACTTGTAACACTTTCACTTAATCACCATTGCCCGTTTTAAACAGTGTGTCGTAGTTAGAAACAAAAGCATATCATTAACAGATTGGCTCTGAGATAGCTGTCACCAGATGAATATCATTGTTTCATTGCCACAGCTAACAACGGTTTCTCAGAGTTCGCAAGATTTTAAAATTCCGTCAAATTACGAATGCGCTAGTATATTGTATGACCATCCCCGCGCCGGGCAGCAAGTGGCGCATCAAAAAATGCCCCTGGGCCAAGAATTTTGACCTTTTGCTTGAACTGATGACAAACAACTGCAACCTACTACATCGGAAGGTTGCTACATTGAACGAGTGTCCTTTTCATGGAAACCATGACAGGATGATTTTCTGCGTACAATGGTTGATTCTCCACGAAAATTACTTGGCGTTGTTGTTGCGTGATCCAGGTATTATAGACTTCATTCGCCTTTGTGGCTTTCAACTATAATTTACATATGTCGAACTCGATTTCTTTGAAAACTTTGTGCGCGTGAGACATCCCGTGATAAGGTTTTATATGATTAACATCGCGAGTTTAGTCTAATTCGAGTCAAAATCCTCCTTTCTAGGATTACGCAACAGCAAAAGGCATAGTTAGTTTTGTGTTCTCGAGAATACTCCCGCAAAACCATTTTGGTAAAGCTTTCGTTTTGTTCTCAAGCGGTAACAAAGGGATAAAAAGGACAATAGTAGTTAAACCTGTTGGACAACTTTAATATTTGTCAGTTGTTGGCGACGCAGGAAATTTGAACGGCGTTAGCACGTCGCACTTTATGACCAGCTGCCTTGCATACCGATACTGAAATAGATGGAACTTGGCCTTGAAATTTTCGGACTAACCAAACGAAATTTAAGATTGAAACGTGCAATTTGGACAACAAAGAATGAATTGATACGCCTTACCGCCCATAAGTTCTTCCATAAACTATTGTTGTGAAGTGTAAGACTTATTACGCGTTGAAAATTTATTCAGACAATCATATTTTAGTTTTTTAACAATCAAGCAAGCATCTATTTCAACGGAGTGAAATCCTATGTACTTGACTCCGCGTTTCCAAAAGGTCCAAACGACCCACTATTTCATCAAAAATGAACCCAAAATTTTGCTATGTCGATCACTTGCTCCTTTTGCCGAATATTCCAAGTAAAAATCATTTACTCGTCTTCATATAAAAAGACATTTGTAGTGATAGTTATATAACTTTTCAATGCAGCGCCTTGATCACTGCCTTTTGAAAATGAAAGCAGCTAGTTCGAGAAAGACGGTCACGAGAGATCTTTATTTTAAGCTCGTTTTCAAAAAAACGAGTTACATGCTCTCGTTTCAATTACTTGTTTATTAACTCACCGACATTATCATCTTGACCGCGATTTTTTTACTGTTCATGTGCATATTGTGTCTCTTTGTGGAAATTAAAAAGGGTGAAAGGACAAGTGAGATGAGGCGCTTTACAAAGCGTGTTGAAACTCGTGAGGGCTCGTGATAATCGCATGTTTTTTTTCACTTAGGTCTTAACTTGCTTTGGAACAAAGTATATTCTTCAGTCCTCTGAAAGCTTAAAGCCATTTTGATAACTATTCTAACAACGGGCTTGGTAAGTTATCTTTTAAAGCGTAGAATTATTTATTAACTTATGACAAAATGCTCAGCCGTCGTTAAATTGACTTTCATACTCAGCAGTGAGAAATTTTCAACGCATCCCCTTGAAAGGTCCTTCTAAACTTTTAGAGAGTGTCAGATGTTTGTTTATTACTGTCAAGCGAATCAAAAGTTATGTTATTCAATAGAACATGAAATATTTGAACTTGGGTTTATCCTAAAATCATTTTGTTCTAGACAGAAACAAATTCTGGCTTATCCCAGTAGTAAAAATTATTGACCGAATTCCCACAGAAAATTTTATGCAAGCTTTGTATGAGCATTCGATGTTTGTTTACAATTGTAAGCTAATAATCTAAGAATTGTTTCGCTGTTTTAGAAGACCAATTTTACGATCTTGTGCAGAGCATTAAATCGCCAGTTTATTGGCAAATGAAAAAATCTTTAATTAGACTGTTGGGGTCGGTGTCAAATTAATTAGGTTCTCGGCAGCAGCAGGACGCCCGTGGCTCGAAAACGAATGAGCTAATGACAAACATATTCCCTTTTCGCTTTGAAAGCACAACTGCACTTAAGTACAACGGGAAAACAATGTCAAAAGCTTTTCGTTATGAAAATTTGTCGGTTATCTCGTCAACGTAAGACCATGGTCAGTAGTCGAACACATATGTTTTCCGAGTTTCAAGAACCTAGTGATTAGAACAACGGCTAGAAAAATTTCGTGCACCTGTGGAAAGTGGATATTCTGAGGCTGCCAGGCGTGTAGCTCAAGCGCTCGTTCAATTGCGTATTACAACACAGACGGCTCAGCCTTCTTATTTTCTAATACGTGCAAATGTTTAACCTTTGTATTCGTAACTTCATGTTGAAACGATTTATTGGTAAGCTTCGCTAGAATTTATGTCAAGGGCGACTCAGGGAAATATTCACCTCTTTTTTTATGAGGAATATTGCATCAATCCTTAGGATATTGAAATAGATAAAAACGAAGATTTGCATCTTAGAGTGATTTCGCATCACAAAATTACACTTTTGAAAAAAATCTGATGTCTAGGGCTACTTTTCTCGTGTGGTTTAAATTGTGTTTTCTTTCGAAAGCAAAGAACGCCAGATCGTCAGGTGATTCCTGCGCAGGATGCACTCAACAACGGTTACGAAGATCGCGGCCTCTTGGCAAACCACGAGTGTGATATCGAACGCGTGCTTAGTGAGATCATGTCACGCACTTCATTTTCCTTGATCATGTTGCGTGCATGATCGAAGTCGCCCGCCTGGAGGATATCACTTACTCAATCAGGCATCACATGTCTTTGGTACATATATATTTCTCAATCCAAAAATTAAGGCTTTTTTGACAAGTGAGCAACACATCTATTTAAATCCCAAAGACTTTGATCCCCTTTCCGTTCAAACATTCCGCTCAAACAAAGGTTCTGGCCGGTGTGACATTTGTTCTGCAGTCTGTCGTTGAAAGCCACCAGCTACGAAATGCTTTTCGCTGATGAATAGTGGATCTTTATTGACAATTTCCGGTGGGTAGCTTCATCCAGGCCGTTGATAATTATAACCGAGAAACGCCAGACAACATTGCGTTGAAACATTTAGTTGCTGAAATTCCCGTTTATCACTTTCTATTGACGTTTATTAATCGTTGCTCTTCTTGATTACAGTTTTTTCAGTTGAACGCTGACTTCAGATCTTTTGCAAGGATAGCACGTGACCGAGTGGGTGACGGTAGAAATAAAAATGTATTCCCTGAAAGACATCACGAATGGCTGCGTGAAGATAGAAATCCCTGAAAATCCGCACTGCAAAGAAATAATCTCCGCTTGCGAGATGCCAGTCGTGAAAGTGGAAATTTCTGAGTCAGCGTGCAGCACGGTCAACCACCAAACGATTTCACTTCCACAGGAGTCAATCTATGAAGTGCCTGCTATTGAAGAAGTAAACACTGGCAGTCGAGAGGATGTGCTGAACATTCAGATCAGCAACGTTCAGGGCGCGCTATCTAATCAAATCGCTGACAAGAATGTAATGCCTGTGTATCAGATAGAAAACCACGACGATAAACCAAACGAATGCAAAGAATTGCATTCTCCAGCAGTTGATAATAGCAACCAAGAAGAGCATATACCAGCTGAAGGTGTACACAATCACAATGATAAACTGCCCAACTCAGTGGCTTCTCGAGAGGAGACGTCCCCCAATATGTCTCCCAAGATGTCTCCGATGGAAAGTGAAGAACAATCTCCTGGCCACAACTCGCCTGTTTTCAACGGGGAATCATCACCTGAGACGGCTCATCAGGAGAAAGAAATTGCCTTCCGGTTAGGTTCTCCAGAGAGGGCGCCATCTTACCGATTGGCCCATCAGCCAGATACCTTACCAGTGAAAAGCCAGTACATGGCTTACCAGTTGAGTTCCAATGGAACCAAAGCAGCTTACCTGTTTACTTCCCCGGGGAAGATACCTCCCTATCAGAATGGTACCTCTGAGAGTGCCCCATCCAACCATGCTTTGGGATCCACATCTACTCCTCTGAGTTCCAATGCTACGGTGCCACTTTACCACATGGAGGAAACGCCCACCTCACAAAATGGGGACTGGAAGAAAAGTGAAAATTATCAGATCAGCTACTACAATGGAATGCCAATGTACTATGGTGACTACAGCCTGCTCGATCTGCAACAAGGACTTCCATTCTGGCCATCAGAGTCCCGCGATTTGGTGTCAAACAACCAGAAGAAGACCCAGAATTGCAACTGTTGCTGCCATGCACAAAATGATTTTACTCGTTATCCTGAATTGAAAAGCCAGCGCCCGTCAGTTATTATGGTTCCTGTGAACTGGAACAGAAGTAATTCTGGAATATCTCATTTGCCATTGAAGGTAACTCAGACTACTTAACTCTTTCTGATCATTGGTTCAATTGCTATATTTGCGTGGCAACATATTTTTTATTCGCTTATATACAGGCACACACACACACACACACACACACACACATATATATATATATATATATATATACAGGCACACATAGATGTGACTTTATTCATTGTAATGTGACTGCTAAAAAACCCCTTGGAAATTGGCTAAAGATATGGCCAGTGCTTCGTTCAATATCAGCTATCCTTGTTGTTATTTCTAAAAACATCTATGCTTACTTATGCCAAGTTTCAGAACAAAGTTACACTCTGCTATTGCTTTTTACGAAAAACTTTCCTTTTTTTCTACCAGCAGGTTGACAACGCAAATTACAAGATGCATTCACAGACTCGGGACGTTCCTATGGTAAGTGTTAACTACTTCTGCTGATCGAGGGATCTAAATTGCTAACTGGACATAAGTATTGAACCTCGCTTTAGAATGGATTCATCTTTTAACTTTGATTTTCCGTTGTCCATATTGAGCTCTGTTCTCATTTCCTGTGGCAACAAATTGTCACTTTCGCAACACTTGGTTGCGAAATGATGCCTTATGGAATGATCAACGCCTCTTTACACTACTTTTTTCTTGTTTTGTAAAAACTATGAAAGCAAATAAAGAATCCAAACAAAAAGGGAGGACCTCAGAGGTTTGAATTATACTAAGATGTATTTTTTCGTAGCACAATTGAGGAACATAATTTTTTAAAGTTCGGCTCGTATTAGACTGAAATCAGTAATGTTTTATTAGTTCTAGTGTTCTTAACTTTTTAACGTTAACACGGTTTACCAACTGCTGAATTAATTTGTTGCGTCCACGAAAAGCTTGAAGTTCTCGAGTTTGTTCCATCTCTCTGATGGAAATTGAAATAAGTAAAAAAGAGAGAACAACCGTTCATTTCTCATGTACTTGATGAAGTTCATCATAGAATTTAGAAGTATTATTTTAATTTTTTTCGTTTTTCTACAAGTTAGAATGTTTTTAAAAAAATTGCGAGAAAATTAAACTTTGTATGGAAATGTTATTAAGCATATTATATATAATATCCGTATCTTCAATATTGTTGACATGTTGTTTTTCTTTGTGCACAACATGAATCACATGATATCCTCGGTACTAAATAGCGTGCCTGTAGCCAGAACTTTTCAGATATTTTTTCAATTTGCCTCGGTCCAAACATGTGGCTTCTAGCATAGTTGGTACTAGTGCGCAACGCATTTAGTATCTGGGAGGCACGGGTTCGAATCCCGGTTAAGCTTGATTTCTTTCATTCTTTTTTTACTGCAATTGTTAAAATCGTCATATCCCTGCGAGGATCATTTCTTTGCATGACTTATTTATTATTTGCTCGATTTCGTTACAAATTGTGACTCTCATCTGCTGTATTCCAGAGCATGTGACAGCCATCACAATATCAGAGGTTTCCAAAACTGTCATTTACGCAACTTGTTTTGTAATTATTGCTGTATTTTACGATCGCTAAGTGAGCCACATGATTTTATTTTCACGATTTTCACGTTGATCTCACGTGAAATACTTAAGGTAGGAAAAGCCCAAGTCGAAACCAAGAAGAAGCTTCTAGTACCACCATTATTATGTTTTAAATTAAAAGAATATTGTTTTTTTATTTCATTTAATTTTTCTTTATTTATTTTAATATGACTTCCCGCGGGGTGACCCCTTCGGTACTGAACTGACCCTTGCGGTACTGTTTAATCACGTACACATTTGATTTTTACTAGGACTACTCAGATGACTCAGATTCCTCTGATGATGACGAAAACGGAAAACGAGAAAAGTATTTCCGAAAGAACATCGATGGAACAACAGCCAGATTTAAGCTGACCAAAGAGGACTGGGCAAGAATTCCAATTAACACATTCCCTAGCGGTGGCCGTTTGTTGAGCGGCGACTGGACACGAATCTTCCTCAGCAAAGTCAAAGAAAGCAACCCATGGTGCAGTTTGCGCTTCAAGAATAATCACGTGCGGTCAGAAAACTCTCGGAAAATCCACTCAGCGGTGTTCTTCAGGGGAGGCGCGGAGTGCAAGCGACCAGAATGCAACGTGAAGGTGCGATTTGTGATCCGAAAAGAAAGAGGAAAACACGTGGAGGTGACCTACCTGGGAAATATTTGCCATAGCAGTCAGCCGGGTGGGGGTGAAATCTCGAGCGAAGCAAAGAAAATGAAACGTGCTCGCCGGACATATTCTACTTAAACAGAGTTTCGTAGGATTTGCTGGAATAACGCGTTTACATTAGAATTCATTTTTAATATCAGTTTAAGCTAAAAAGTTGATGAATTGAAAACTTAAATGTCTTTATTGCGAGTCGTTGACATTGAAGTGTTTTGTTTTTCGATTCTTTTTCTTTTGTTTAAGGTATTATATTGTGGATGGCATATTTTTGTAAACGATTGCTGGACTTTACAAGAAAGTTGAAGTTTGTAACTTTACTTGTGTAAGGAAAGCAATTCTATTGCTCAACGTGGCTTGTATTTATATGCTAATTTGGATTCTGGAGAGTTGTCTCTTGAGAGTGTCTATTTGAAACAAGTATATTTACATATACGCCTTTGAACAATATGCAAAAACAATATTTTTTCTTCAAAAAGAGCAGTTTTTGCTACGTTTATGTAAGGAAATTTGAAAATAATTATATTATCCTCTATTTTCGATAACATCGCTTTTTCACAATGTAAATTTATCAATCTTCTTTCATTTAAAAGAGATGATGCTTGAAATACCGAGTTGTTTCCTTGTGTCCATAAGGTTCTGTTGAAAACAAGAGGGGTGGGACTTATGTGGCGGTTTTGTGTGTGCATGGGAGAGGTATAGGTAGAGGAGATGGACTCAGCCGGAGTATCGAGGTCCTATATTTGATATGTTGATTTATTTGATTAAGTTGGATTGAAGGCTTGTCACTCATGACCACCACCCCCTTCCCCACATTGCTCAACCACTACCACTCCCTCGCCCCCAGGACAAAGCCCAAAAAGCGTGCTGCAGTCGCCAGAACATCCGTCAGCTCCGGACTTTTTCAAAATATTCAATTCTGAAAGAACTTGTGCAAAAAGTCTTAGATTCATGAGATATTGCCTTTCCCAACCGGATGTAACCGCGAGGTTGAGCAAGTCATTCATGTTATGATGTCTCATTCAAGCATCTTCGTCCTTTGGGCGGTTTTCCTCTTTCTGCTTTCTTTTTCTTTTCCCGTACCTCCCGTAAATTATTTTTCCTTCGAATGGATTTTAATTGTGTTCGCAATTTTACTTAATTTCCGCCCATAGTGGACTGTCAGGTGCAGAAAATGTAGAAAAAAAATTATTGACGAGAAGTAATGATCTGTTTAGTGAGGTTTAATTGACTTCTGGCTTCGAATCCAGAGGCTGAGGTGAGCATTTGAAATTCCCAAATTATAATTCATAGCGAATTCAAAAAAGTGGACAGTCTACAGCAGAAGATTATGGTGTCTATAATTACAAAATGATTGTGCATAGAGAGAGGATATTATTGCTAGTGTTTCGAACCCCTTTAGCAGTATCCTATGAACTAAAATTTAAAGCTTGCTTGTGTTTCACATGTAAAAGGGTTCTCTACATTTCGGTTAAAAACGTAATATATCTCGATTCACGAATTAAAATCGCTTTTTTCACACACGAAGCTTGTATACAGTGTAACCCTTGACTTCACGGTAGAAAAAGTGCAATTTGGGATATCTTTTCTCCCGAAACTTGAAACAAAGGTTATGGAGTCATTTAGCAGGCGTCTGACGGCCACCGCGTATAGTGAGTAATGGTTAATCAGCAGCAAAGTCTTGGCGTAATATTCTCTTTTCTTCCTCCACATAACTCTTTCCTCTAGAAGTCTGTCCTTGATCGCGTTTTCTTTTCTCTTTTTGCTTAAAATTTTCCGTTTTCTGTTTCTTTGGAGCACTTTCTCCTAAAAGAACAAATTTCAAAGCAATGAATATTTCCGCCTCTCTCTTTTACCTGAGCTGGTTTGATTAAAAGAAAAACAATTCACGAACACGCATATGATCGAGAACAATTTCGAACAACGCTTCTCAAGTTCATACACACAAACTCAGCGACAACAGCTTATAATAAGCGTATTCCAAACCTAATATTTGTTCCCTTTACGAGAAGCGTAGTCTCCTTAGTAATCGTAGTTCGAATACATCAAGCTACACGACGCTAAAGAGAGTCACGGCGGCGAAGAAGACTATGAGAAGAGAGACTTTTTTTGCTTTTTTTTATTTGTTTGTTTGTTTTTTTGTTTTACCTCAACCCTCTAGAAAGGGTACACACTCTATAGAGCCGTTTACAAGCAAGCTTTTGTTTCTGGGAGCTTGAGGAATACGAAACAATGAAAAGCTTCTCTGCAAGAGAGGCAGAGAAAATTTGTCCCAGAAATAGCAACGTTAACGACAAGCCATTCTTGGGTGTAGTATCTTACCTCTTTCTTTCAAGATGTTTAAGGCGGTAGTGACTGATCTTTTTTCGTGAACAACTAAGTGCTTTTGTATGTCAGAGATCTCCTTGCCGTATTTGACTGGAGCAGAAGAAATGACAGCATCTTCGTATTCTTCACTATCTCTGCTGCTTTCCGTCACAGGAGGAAATTGTACGGGAGGAGCTGAATAGGTGTTTGGTTCGTATCGTTTTGACAGCGAGTTCCAATCGACGTAGCTCTCCTCTTTAGTTTCAAGGAAAGCTGGTCTCCCAACTGTTGCGAACAAAGTCGTCGGTGAAGGAAGCTTTGTCTTGAGTGCTGATGCATTACCTGCTGGGCTCTTGGATTTCAATTTGTCTTGATCGTCATCCCTAACATCGCTTTCGTTTTCAGAGTCTGAGGTCGAGCTGGAATCTCCGGCAGTAAAGAATGACAGCGGATCTTTATCGGCACTGTTTACCTCCTTGTTTAACGGTTCGTCCGCCATCTTGAATTTTGTGAATACATGGTAACAATGAGCAGCGGCTCTGCATAAAGTCAAACCCAGGTTCTCAAAGTTTTATCCCTTACAAAAAGATGTCATGTCTTATCCTTTTTTTATGACAGTACTTCTCCGTTATCTGTAAAAAAATTCGACGGGTAAAATGCCTCAGAGAAACTATCGAAAGCGCCGCGAAGCGGAAGAAAGTGACGATGATCAGCAAGAAACATCTTTAACGAGCGAGGCGTTAGAGGAAAGGAAAGAACTACAACGATTTCGGAAGCGACAAGCTGGAGTTTCGGCTGTGGCCCTTGCTCTTGGAAAAACTCTTGCACCAGAAGAAGAAGTAGAGAGTGATCCTTTTAAACTGAAAACAGGCGGGCTTGTTCAGGTGAACGATTTGATCCAGGATAGAAATCGTGACAGAGAAGGGGAAGACAAAGAGAAATCGATTAACTTAGGAGCAAATTTTGCCGCTGAAACAAACCGAAGAGATGAAGATACTCATATGTTAAAATACATTGAAGAAGAGATGGCGAAGAGGAAAGGTGTTGCACTGGATAAAACTGTTCAAAACAAGTGGGTAGCTAATTTTTATTTTGAAATGTGTCTTTGCACGTGTGAATAGTAAGTTTATCTTGGGGTATTGCAATGACTGAGTCAGTCTATTACAACTGATACCCTTCTCTGTGCCCCTACCTAATCAAAACTGTCAATCAAAATTGCCGACAGTTCCTGAGTCATATTGGTGAGATTCAAAGGTAGTTCATAAGAAGGAAAAATTAGTGGTGCAAACCTGCCTACAAAGGAGAATGGAGCTCAGATTTTTGCCAGTGTAAACTAAGTGGACCAGTGTTTTTTCAAGTTTTAGGGCTATATGTGTCTCTGGTCTCAAAATGTTGAAAAATTTAGGTCTGTAGCACTTTCCTCATTCCTATTTCAGCTTGTTCAAGAGAGTGTCGTAGCATGTTTCAACTGCGACCTCAAACCAAGGACTCATTTTCTCATTGCCAAACTTTTCTTTCAACAGTACAGTGAGGAAGGTAGAATTTTAGAAGAGAACCATTCACTTTAATTTTCTTTTCAGACATAGCTTTTGTTGTAAGCTTGTCTCTCTACAAGGTTCTTTTAATTTCAAGGTAGATCTAGTCAATTTTTTGTTGGGACAGATTTATTATCAGAAAGGTTAACTCAGCATCATACTGTGAAATACATATGCTTGGTAAAAGTACACAACTCAGTACTAGCTTGGGTGGTTTGCAACTAAAACATGGTCTGGACCTGGGGGTCTGGACCCCCATTTTTTGGTGAAGTGGAAGTTCTCAGGTCATTTTTATTCACAAAATGTCATAGAATATTTCTGTTTTAAACAGCTGAAATCATGCAGTCCATACCACTTTTTAAATGTATCTGAACCCAATTTTTCTTTGCTGACCTCTGTGATTTACTGAATTTACTGAAAAAAGGTAAACCAGGATCATAATTTTTCCTAAAAAAATGGGGTATCAGGTAAATTTCTTTACTGACCAACTGAGATTTTTGGTGCAAGGATGGTTGTTATTATTGTTGTTATGTCTTTTTTGGGGCTGAAGTTTCAGTGATTTGGTTGTTTTAAGTGGAATGGTGATTCAAAGTCAAAACATCTCCAGATTTTTTTAATTCCAGTGGCTGGAATCTTTCCCAGACTGAGTTTACTTGTTTTAAAAGTTGTAGGCTGTAGGAGAAGTAGTGTGGCAGATGCTTGAGTGAAGGATGTCAAAGCTATTTACAAAGGCTGCTAGGCCAAGGTTTGGGATCCCATATTATGATAAGACCTGTGATCATTTTTGATCCCAGTCAGATTGGAATGTAGTCTGTCATGGTGCCAGCAGCTTCAGTCCCCTTAGGGATTCCCATATAAACACAGAAAGAGTGTGATTTATTTACTGGTTTTTATTACTGCCGATTATGTAAACTTTTGCAGGCCAAAATCAAAGGAAGATTTGCTGTATCAGGTTCCAGAACATATCAATGTCAGGTCAAAGATAATGGCATCAGAAGAAATGCTCTCGAATCAGATGTTATCTGGTATTCCTGAGGTGGATCTTGGCATTGACGCAAAAATAAGGAACATTGAGGCTACAGAAGCAGCTAAACAAGCTGTGATCGAGGAACAAAGGTACAAGAAATCAAAAGAACCAACAGAGATGGTTCCAACCAACATGGCGGTGAACTTCATGCTGCATAGTAGATGTAAGCTATGTTTCAATTTATAATTTTTGCATGTTGACAGGATGAATAAGAACAAACATGGAGAAATTAACTATCTAAAGTCAAGGAAGGTAAATTAAATGGTGCAATGAGTTTGAAAAGGTGAAGTTTAATTACTAGCTCAACTTTGAAGCAAAGCTATCTTGAGGGTTGATAATTATGTTTATCAAACTGAGGCCCCATCAACACTAATGCCTTTTTTGTTCAAAAACATGAACTTCCCAATTTGGCTTCCCTGTACATTTTTGGATTTTTCAGTCTGGACAATTGGGAAAAACATCAAAATTTAGTAGCGTGAAAAGTGGAGGGCATTATGAAAATGCTAGTCTGGTGAAGAAACTATTTTGCTTCATTTTGCTTGAGAAAAAAATTGAACACCTTCCAATTGTTATTTTATTTATTGGCAATATTCAACCAGGTTGGCCCAGTTCAGCTTCAAGCTGATTTGAATGGGGGTCTGCGACCAGAGCCAAGTAGTTAACAGTGTTACAAGGCTTAAATTGAATCACAACCATTTGTATGGGGCACAAGTGGCTGTATGACTTTTGTGCCAAACACACTAAAATCACTTGATATTAAGAACTGATGTGAATGTGAATGTGTTTCCAGTTTATGATGAGCAAAAGAATATTGATGCAGAAAGCAAGAGAGCTGCTTCAGCAAGAGACAAGGCACAAGAACAAGAGAAAGTAATTAGAAAACCAACAGTAAAGGCAGATGACACTTCATCAGCATCAAGCAGCAAAGCACATGAAACTGACGTTCCTGTAGCTGCTGCTTCAAACAAGAAGAGAACTGGTGACAAAGTTGAAAAAGCCACTGACGATTTCTTTTATGAGAAATTTAAGAAACGAGCAAGAGACTCATGGAGGTATCAGTAAGGTATCTCTGTATGATGTTTCCTATGACAGTGCCTTACTGCTTGTGAATCACAGCTTTGTTTAAAAGACTGAGGAAAAGATAAAATTGCATCATACAACAGGTGAACAGAAACAGACAGGCAGCAGAAATTTACTCTCCTATCAAGGTTAATTCTTCAGCACTTGTGGCCCCTTAAAGAGTTCTACAACTACATACACTTGAATTCCTAACTGTATTTTAAAATAATTCCTCATATTTTACATCTACTGAAGAATTTTTCCCTTCAATGCTCCTCAATAAATATGTCTACAAGATAGAGAAGACTGTTTTCTTCTGGCGGCTTTCAAGGTTAAAAGAACATTTTTTGTACCTCACTAAAATACACAAAACAGTTAAGTCTTGTAACTCAAGAGCCCCAAAACTGCCACACTTCATCCACATCTAAAGGACACAAGTTGATACCACTCTCTTAAGTTTAGTACAAGTCTCCTTCTACCTTTACAGAAGGTGTACAGCCTTTTTTCTCAAACAGCAGCTACTATCAAGCCTATGTTTCCCAGGATGGGATGCTCGGTATTTTCAAGTGGCCATTACAGCTAGTTTTGTAATTTTTACTGCTAATATGTTGAGCAAAGTTCATGAAAGTATTTTATGTTGTTCACTTTGTCAAACATCACTCACACTTGACAATGTCTTTGGGCAAATTTTTATTTTTAAAGATTTAATGTTGACGAATCACATTCACCAGAAGAGGCAGAGTCATTTTGATTCCACACTTTATCTTCTTTACTTTTGATGATTTCCTGAGTTTTCAAGAAGATATTGACAGAAGCAAGAGCTTCTTTGGCCCAGACAGGAAAAATTTCATCTGGAAACATCCTTTTCATAAATTTGTGCACAAATTCAGGAAATTTGTCCTCCTTGATACTTCCTCTTATATCATGCATCAACTTCATCTGAAACAAAATGGAAAAAAAATAGAAACCAAAATAATTAAGTCAAAGCAAATAAACTTGAATATTTTTACTGAATGAAATTTTTAAAATTTAAAAATTGTACCAACACATTTCTTATTCCTACTCTGAAGAATAGCTGATGGAATTTCTCTATATATCACATTGGCTTTTGGAAAGGGAGCAAAATTTCATGTAGGGAACCCTCAGAGTAGGAGAAAAATCAACCCAATTTATAATTAAAGGTTCAGGAATCAAACCTGAACCACACTCTAACACATTGAATTCATTGTTCTGGCAACTAGTCACATCATATGTTTCCTTTTAATCTCTCCCACACACTTGTAACCCTCATTGTTAGTGCGACAGGATATATGTTTTTCCCCCTGCTGGAAGATTTGAGACTAGTCGGGAGGAGTTTGCTGGGGTCTGGTACCAATATCAGTTCCAGACCCATTGCAGACCTCTTGCTTGTTGCTTTGCAAAAGGCCTCAAACTTTCCTGCAGGCAAAGGAATGGTTGTGCTGCAGCCCCAATAATGAGGGCCTGCTTACAAGATAACACTATTTGTCATTGTTCAGCATACCTGATAATAAATGTTATGAATTGTCAACAAATGACAAGCAACCTCTTCTCTGCCTAGCAAAGAGTTGATGTAAGCCCTGGTGTGATGTTTACAAGCCAAGCATCTGCAGTCTCTGTCAATAGGTTCAAAGTCTGTTGCATATTGTTTATTCTTTAAGTGAAGTTGACCCCAAGGTACCAGGGCTGTGCCAAATCTCTGGATTTGTAAGAAAAAAAAATCAGTCAGTAGCTTTACAAGTGGATTATCAGTACAATGATCTTCAAAATTCTGGTTGAAAGACCCTTGAAGATCTTGGCATGAGTATTGAAGATCATAATAAATATTTCTCTATTACAATCCTTGATAGGATCCTCAAAATCCTGAAGATCCTTTAGGGAAATTATAGGCAAGTACTGTAGGAGCAAGACGTATGAAACAAAAAAATCCAAATTTGGCTTTGAGAGTAAGAAACCCTGAACAATTACACTTAACACTCCCTAAGATTTATTTATTTTTTATTACTGGGTAAGAGCGAGGAGGAAACTCAGGGGTGGAGACCGGCTTAGCATGATCAAATAACAGCACAACTGTGCATGCACATTCTTCATATGATGCTGGATTCAGGGTTAATGAGCAAATATGTTTTAAAACTGGATCCCATTACAACACTATTTTAATCTTATTTATCCTGATTGATCTAATTTTTTTTTTGTCAGAGTTTAGAAGTAATGCACTTCAAGTCAAAATGACTGGACAAAACTTATATGAAATTTGATACCTATATTCTCAGTAAATGTTTACTGATCGTTCTCCATTGAGAATATCCTTATCATTATTATGGAAAAAATTCAAGAAGATACCTAAAAGACTCTTACAGAAAATAAAACATAGGTTATTTAGATTAGAATAAATTAACGATAACACATTAAATACTCCACTCTGTTGAGTCATGCTTGACTGTACAGTATGTTCACTCTACTTACTGCTGTTCTGGTTGGATAGACACAGTCAAACATGTCAACTCCCAAAGCACAGCAAACTACAAGATCCACAGCATAGCTTGAGAAAATAAAAGAGATAATTATAAAACAGAATATGAAAAAATTAGGAAATTAATCTTGATACATTGCCAGAATGATTTTCCAGTAATTTTTTTCTTATGAACACCAAGCAATCTTTGCACATGACCCTTACCCTACACCCATAAGATATCTTGGTTTGCTCTTTGGTAGATGATCTGTGCACAGTGTAACAGTTTTCCAAAATAAAGACTTCTCTTCTCCACCACTAAGGCCACCAATGGCAATACCAGGTGTGTTACGTTTAACCATCTCTAAGAAATGAATATTCAATAAATTTGATCATATAGCAACTGTTGAAAACATTTCAAAATTTTATCAATCTTATGGGTTACTGTACTTCCTACATGACTTAGCTACTTGCATTAGCCCAGTGATTGGCTAACTAAACTGCTTGGACTCAGGGCTGAAAGGTCAAGATCCAAGCTCTATCCAAGTAATTTTGGTGTGCAGAATGTCTGTCTGGAGTACAAATGGGTAACAATGAAATATTGAGGAACCAGACAAAATAGAAGGGTAAAGTTATGACCTGCATGTACAATGGGGCAGCATCTCAGGCAGAAGAGGTGGCACTACCCCTGCACTGCCCTGTTATGCTGTGGGAGCCAGGATAAACTTGGACAACATGTTGACAGTTATGCTCAAGGGCAGACTTTCTTTTTCATCCAAAATTAAGTTGCAAATAATCAGATAAACTTCAGATACAATCAATAATGGTGAGGGGACTTTGTTTCCTCAAATTTGGTCTGTAATCATATGAGCAATTAACAAAATCGGACATCCACCAAGTGGTAGTCCAATTTGTCAATCACAAGTATCAAAATGATTGCAGACAGAACTAGATGACACAAAGTCCTGTTACCAATTAATTATCACCATTACCATTTCTGAAAAAAACAAATACATTTAGGAATTAAACATCTCCAGTAGAGATAATGTCTATAGTAAAAGTTCTTCCATTTTGGAAATTCCCCAGTAGTTCTTCAGGAAAAGTGGTTGTTGCTATCATAATGGTTATTGTGATAAATTCTGTGATTGGTAAATTTAGCTGAGTGGACTCAGTTTGATTGGAAGCTCCAACTGTCCAATTACCAGTGTCTGATTACAGCCAACAGTCTGATTACAACTGAATGGACTTATTAGTGAAAATTAAAGCAGCTAATGCTCCAATAACATTTGAGGAAATTGTAATGGTTAGGATTAATAGATAAATCAGATGAACTGATGATGGATGATGCTTGTAAAACAAAGTACCTCTTATACAAGTCTTTCTAAGTTCTGGATCTAATCCTCCCTGTATTATTGCAAAAAGGTTTTGCTGTGTTGGCTTAGCATGGGCTGATATACATCTGTCCAACCATCGGACTGAGCGCAACATGGCCTCTTCAACTCTTGGACCTACAGAGGCAATGATTGGATTTTAGCCAAAGGATTGACTGAAACAATTCTATAAGATAGGATAAGATTTACTTTTTGGGATGGTAAGGGACTTTTTAAGTTCTACTCTTGTCCAAATCTGGGGTCACTAGTTCATTTTGGCATCAGGATAAATATTGTTCAATCTGTATTTATTTGATCTGTCTTAATGATTCAATGGTAAAATGAACAGAATTTAGTTCATGGTTGAAATATAGGATCCTATAAGTTTTCTCTCATTTCTCTCCTTTTTGAAGATTTGAGTTAAGCAAAGATGTTTGTAAAAAGTTGACCTAACGAGTAATAACCCTACCATACCAACTAGCAGGCTAATCTATTTACCTTCCTGGTACAAACAACATCTCTTATTGATGCTATGGTTACTGGAATCATCTACAGGGGCTTCACAAAAATATTCGTAATTATGATTCAAAAGGTCTTATCCTCTAGTTGTCACTGGTTGCAGGATAACATTTACCACTGTGCATCAACTCCACTTCCATTTCATTCTTTTTCATACTCTTAGATACATTTTCATTAAAGATAGCTCAGTTATGAGCATATTAAGTATCTGCTATATTTGCCATTGAACAGTCAGGCTGAAAATGACAAATCTTTGAAAGAGATTGTAAGCAGATTGCCAAGGTTGCCATACTGATTCAGGTTACCTGTTGTAGTACTGCTGACCACATCATCCAGCTGCATTATGATATCAGCTCCTATGGAATTCTGGATCTCAGTTGACTTCTCAGGGGTAAGTAGCATTTCTTTACCATCATGGGGAGACTGGAACTTAACACCTTCCTTTGAAAAAGAAATTAAAGGAATCTCTGTGTGCACATATAAATCTTTACTGGTAAAATCCGTCTCTGTTTATGGGGGGTTCAGATTTTTCTCTTTATTTTAGGTATTTCAATCAGCTCAATTTGTTCCTTCCTCTACTTCAGATGCAGTCAGTACAAAATTAAGACTGCATACAAAATGCAGACTGGTTGCAAAGTACACACTGAGAATTTAAACTGTTTTTTTGTCTGATATGTAATAATATGTCATCTTACAACTTACCAAGTGTCACACAATCCCTTTTCCGCGATCACCTTTCACAATCATTTGCACTATTATGGAATATTCCTTGCCTTTTTCCTTGTATATTTTGTTTTATAACAAAGTGGCTGTTGTTTTCAGTTTTTCACTAAGCAGACACAATTGTTCTTAATAGAATTTCAAGTCTTCATATAGTCTTTTCACTTCACATGCAAGATGTCAGAATTGAATAATTAACAGGCGCAATTTTTGAGAAACAATTGAAAGCTTTGCACGCGTTCCATACTCATCATCTTTTTAACCAATATGTGTTCATCTTGATGACAAAAATGCAGACCATGATCAAAACTGTTTCTTCAACTTGGTTTATTTTCAAAATTCAGGGGTGTACACTCACTGATTGATGGGCCATTTGTTTATCTCTCATCTGTTTGGTAACTCCACAAATATTAATATGTAAAAATCAGTGTATGTACCATGTTACAAAATTCCACTTGTAATAATGCAAATGATTGTGAAAGACATTCCTTGAAAAAAAAATTCTGTGACACTCGGTAAGTTGTGAGATGCCATTTTATCATGTATCAGATGGAAAAAACAGTTTAAATTCTCAGTCTGCATTTTTTACCTAGTCTGCATTTTGTACCTGGTCTACAGTCTGCATTTTGTACTGACCAACTTCAGATGGTAAGTCCAAGAAAAATTGTTGGCTGGGAAGAAATTTCAATGACAATATTTAAATTTGACAAGGAGAACACTTGTGCGAAAATGAGTCAGGGAGAAACAGAAGTAAAAAGGGTTGTAAGACCGGAGTGGCTTACCTCAGTAATTTCAGCTAATTTCAATAAAGATACCATCTGAAATCCACCACTGTCCTTTATGTTGGAAACAAGTAAATAATAATTTGTTAACCACTCGAAACAATTACTGTTCTTTTCTCTTAAAGCGTGTTTCGACTCAGGCAATATTAATATTTTGGCAGGCAACTTACCGTTAATAAGGCTCTCTTCCAATTCATAAATCCATGTAGTCCCCCGGCTTTTTCCAATATCTCTGTGCCCTGTGTGTTAAAATTTATCTCATGAACTGATTTTTAAGAGCTAGAACCGTATAATAATGCAATTAAAATGCTCCTGATCTCTTGTTCTCTCTACCGGTCTCATTCCAAGATGGTACGTGTTCCCAAGAATAATCTGACAGTCCAGCTCTGTGAGTTGTTTAGAGGTCAAACCCTTCATTGTTCCCTGAGTTCCTACAGGCATAAATACTGGAGTTTTTACTTCATAATGTGGCAAAGTTAGAATAGCAGTTCGAGCCTTTGTTGTGGAGCATTCTGCTATAACTTTGTAACTCAAGGCACATGTTTCAAGGCACTTCTCGTCCGCCATGTTGATTTAGACCGCTGACTGGTAGTAATATAAAACACCGGTAGGGGAGGGGTAAGCTATGTTTGTTGGTTTTGGACCGAAGTGAAATAATTTGTTAACTGCAATTGACTGATCTTCTTTTGATTGCATAGAATCGTCTTATAAATCATATGGTACTGCTTAAATAAATTTCCAAACATATTGAAGCTTTCAAATGTAACTAAAACGAACACATTCCCTATCCCGGCTTTCCCAGCCCTCCCCCGCCTCCTCTTAAAATTTATTTTTTAAAAATCATCTACGTCCCCAGTATTTATAATCAGCGGTTGAGAGTTTGAGAACAAACAAAATGGCGGAAAGCGTAAGAATCTCAGAGAACCCTGCAACTGGAGATCTTTCTTCCTCAAACAATGGGCAGATCACAGTAAATCAAGTCAAATTCGTCGGAATAGAATATCCAGGTTTTATAAAAGATGAAAATCACATGCTTGAAACCCTAGGAGGTGAGGAAGCAGTGTCAAGGACTTACTCAATTCCTACGCGACGATTAGAATTGTCATTTCGTCCTGAAGATCCTTACGCTCATTCATTGTGTGGTGATCGGTATGCTACTGCAAACTTACTACTGAGAGTGAAACGGCGAAAGAAAAAGCAACAACGAGGAAACGGTGAGACGGAAGTAGTGAAATATGAACAGGAGATATTGGGGATAGTTGGAAATTCATTCAAGTAAGTGTATATCAACTTGATAATATATGGTATTCACTTTGCCAATATGGGAAAGCGGTGTTAGGAAAACGGAATCTGGGCTGAATTTAACTACCAAATAATTTGGATATGGTGCTGTTAATCACTTATTGTTTTGTGAAGAAGAGATAGTTAATTCCCTACTGAATTCTTAATTACAAGGATTCCACCGTAGGTAGGTAAATGTACGTTTGACCAAGGTTAAAATTACCTGGTAAGGAAACACTGAAAGATTTCTGTATAACCCTGCCATACTATTCTAAAACAGACCTGTAGTCCCATAGGCTCTTGGGTCTTGTTTTTCTCCTAGGTATAGGTTTTACAAGTAATATTTTCTTATCACCCTAATGGTGAAAATTATCTCTTGCATCATGAATTTTTAGTATTAGGCATGAAGACACTAGTTTCTATACAAAAATACTCTATGTACTTGGTATTAATATTTATCAACCTTAAGATACTTTAGTTTCTCATTTGGTAAGACTTGGTGTGTTAGTGTTCCATGTTCCACTCCCTCCTTCCCCTTCTTCCTGCCCAGCCACTCCTGTAAAGGGTGATCTTTGTTGGCAATTCCATTGGCCTAGATAGAGAGAAGGGTGGATACCTGCCATCATAACTGTGTGCCAAAAGACAATACTTAAGTTTAATTATTCCTATAACCATATGGTAATTCCAATGACAGACTGTAAAAACTGATGAACCATTTTATAATACCTTATATTTATCAGTGCTTTCAATAAGATTTGAAGTAGGTGGCTATCTCAGTAAAGCACCCACCAGAGAATAACATAAAGCAATTCATGATAAAATGGCTTCAAATGGATTTTTCCATGTTAAACTTCAGAAAATGATCATTAAATTTAATCCCCTTAATTTGTAACACTTGCTTAACTGATCATTTTATTTCTCAGCAAAATCTTCCATTTGTTGACATGCAAAGCTGCTACTTGAGTTTCACAAAAGTCCTCAGAAAGGACATTTGGTTACTGGTTACGGAAATCTGAGTCAGTTTGTTCTTGGAAACTCAAAATCTTTTTTCTGGAAATGTGGTATATGATAAGCCATATCAATCATTTTTATCAAGACTTGCTTAAATTAAAGGGGAAAAAGATCTCAAGGTGTTTCATGTCTCTTCTTGTGAGTTGTTTGAAATCTTCCAAAAAGCCACAGAAAGATCCAGAATGTTTTTTGTTCTAAAAATTCAGCTTGAATGTGGCAATGTATACCTGCCAACTCACAACACAACACCTCCCTGAAACTCCTGCTGACTTGGGTCAGTCTTAAGGAAAACCACATGCTAATACTGCTTGGCGATCTAGCTGCTTTTAATGTGCAACTTTTAGTACTCTTTGGACTACAGATTAACTCAGCCTCATGAGAAGGTTTTGAACCACAGTATATTAGTAACATTTTAAATTCTTAGGTTCAACAGTTGATTGATAGGTATAATGTTATACTTGGGTTTGATGCTGAAAGTTAGTGGTATATAAGTTCCACAGAAACAAGCTCTTTTTATGTTACATCTGGTACCTGTTTATTTTTAGGTTTGAAGTTATGGCTGATTTTCAATACCTTGTTCCTGACTTGCCTGATGTCTTGAAACAAGTCACTGATGGAGCTGTATTAAATCAAGATGTCCCTTATCATTTACAACCTCCAGTGTTTACAAGGTTTGATCATCCAATAAACTACAACTACAATGCCGAGTCTGCACCACGAGGCAATAAAACTGATCAAGGAAATGAAAAGGATGAAGAAAGGTAGAGGCAGACATTTTGTGATCTTAACCTGAAAATATTTCAAGGGAAATACAAATAAACTTCATGGAGGCGCGGTGGCCTCATGGTTAGCGCACTTGACTCCAGATTGAGTGGTCTGGGTTTGAGCCCTAGCTGGGGTCATTGTGTTGTGTTCTTAGGCAAGACACTTTACTCTCACAGTGCTTCTCTTCACCCAGGTGTACAAATGGGTACCAGCAAATATGCTGAGGGTAACCCTGCGATGGACTAGTATCCCATCCACAGGGGAGTAGCAATACTCCTAGCTGCTTCATGCTAATGAAACCGGAGTTAAGTGCCGCGCCCATGGGCCACTAGGCCTGTATAAAGGCTTACCTACTTACACAAATAAACTTGACTTTAAGAAAACCTTTCACCACAAAGATTGATAAGTGATCAGGAAACAGCTTCTCCTCACATTACCAAAAAACTATAATGTGACAAGAATTAAGAAAAATATCAAGCAAGGGGGTATTATTTTACACAACAACAAATTCATTGAACTGGTTTTGTAGGAAATGAAGGGCAGGTAGTAGGGGGGAATTACTTTTGAGGCCTGGGGAGTAAAGATATTCAAAACAGATCTATAAAACTCCTTGTTTCCAGTAAATATTCTTGTCTTTGATTTCATTTTGTTTGTTTGATTTTGTTTTGTGCTCTTGTCAATCATTACTGAAAGTAGCTAGCATTCTTTAAAATTGTTATTACCTGGTTTCCAGCTTGGTTGGAACAAGAGCGAGAAGTAGAAGACCAGTTTATGCAATTGCCATCAATTTTAATACCCATGAAGTTCCCACTGCTGCAAATCCTAAAGCAGAAGAAATTGCAAATCGGCCAAAAGATGGTCTTGTGGATGTCACAAAGAAACTGTTTGCCAACAGGCCTATTTGGTCCCGCTCAGCATTACAATGCCACATAACAAGTGCATCACAAGAAAGACTAAAACAACTGCTGGCCTGCACAGCTTATTATTGGCTTAATGGACCATGGAGGACTTTGTGGACGCGAATTGGATATGATCCACGGAAAGACCCCAGTGCCAAAATGTAAGTTAAATTTGCATAAACAATTCAGCTGAATAATATTATTGTCTCTAGGTGATGCAGTAAATTATGCACACTCAGATATTTTCATGCAGAAATTTGAATATACTAGTATTTGAATATACTAGTATGTTATTTGTCATAGAAGAGCGAAAACAAAAAAGCAAAAACTTAAAGAATATATATATAAGAACAAAAAATGTGATAAAAATTTACTACGTCTTCCTTGTTTTTCTTTTTTCATTCAATGATGGGCAGTAGAGTTTGTTTATCATTATTGTACAACATTTCCAGTGTTGAGAGATTTCCACAAGAGGGCAATTCAAAATGGTGGTCTGCTCGCCATTCTGGGTTCAAATGGCAGATATCAGTTTCAGTCATTTTGAACTACCAGTAGTTGCTAACTTCCTGATAATCTCATCAAATAACATTTCTCAAGAACAATTTCAACAAAAGTTTGTTTTAACAGTGAGGATAGAAATATGAATATGTTGAACTTCATAAGTAAGTTTGCAGACTTATTGAAAATGTTATTAAAACTTTATTTTGTTTTCCATGTCTAAAATTTTTGCCTCTAACAGTTATCAGATGCTTGACTTCCGTGTTGGTAGCAGGAAAGGGGCTAAAAATCTTCCAATCAAAGCAAAGAGAAGTTTAAGCAAATATGTTCTTCCAAATTTGGTCAGAAGAACTAACAGCGTGCAGGGAACTTTGGCTAAAGAAGTTGTTATGGTGGACAGTGAGAAAAAAGCAGAGGAGAAGCAAAATCAAGAACCAGATTTACCATATGTCTTTACTCCTAACAAAATGCCGATACAGAAACAGCTGTTTTATCAAGTATGTGACCTTCATGACCCAGAGATTCAAAGACTCCTCAGCAGAAATGATGGCCAGGTAAATTACTACAATAACTACTAATGCATTAATGGAAAACATATATACATTGTGATGTCTTTTTCTGCATTCTATTAACATATTTGGCATGTGTTCCTTACATGTATTAAACTTGGAAAGGAATGCATGGTTCTTCAAGTAGATTTAGGACTGTAAACTAAGAACTGTGTTTGTTGATGATAGCACCCCACAGGTATCTGTAAGGTAGAAGTACAAGCCGTGTTGACACCTTAGTTATTTTTTCAGGTTTCACTTTCTCATACTAATTGTTTCATGGTAGTTACTTTGTCAGGAGCGAATCGTCACAAATTCTCCACTCGTTGAATATAGTGTACTTCACTAGTCATTTTTATCATTTGCAAACTAAGAATTTTCAAGGTTTTAGTCTGATTCTACTTTGTTCTTACCAGGTTCTTCAGCTGCAAAAATTCCTTTTAATTTCTATTTAGTTAAAATTGGCTACTGCAAAAGGTGCATGTGTGTGTATTCTTCCGCGTGCGTGTTTTTAAGTGATAACGTTTGTGAAAAGATGGGTTTTTTTTATTTGTTCTCTAGGAAGAGGAGTGTCACGAGCGTGATGGTTGGTGTTTACCAGGCACAAGTGATCAGATCAGATCCATTCTTTACCAACGGACTACTGAACTAGCTGAGAGACTTAAACAGGAACAGCTGGGGGACGGAACGGAGGCATCGGCTTCTCAATTAGAACTCATAGGAGAGGAGTGGGCAGGACACGAAGGCGTTCAAAACTACTTGCAAATGCTTGAACAGGACGATGATATTGAGGCGTACGATATTTTTGATGACTATGGTGAAGGAGACGATTAAATGAGATACGTGACCGTTTATCATCTAGAGCAATCGGAGTTCACTATAATCGATCGGTGTCATTCTTCTCTATCCTTGGCCCATCCTTGGCCAATCCTTAAAACTTTTTAGTTTACCTTCCTTTTCGGTGTTTTTGTGTAAAACTACTAATGTAAGGTTTCGTTCTGATTAAGAACAATACTCAGCGCCAGAGGCAACAACCCAAAAATTTGTGTTGTATCTTTCTTTGTGTTCGATTTTTAAAACCTAACCTGTGCCAGGCATTCAGTTAGCAAAACGGAACACGATGCTAAACGGCGTAAAAGTAACGGAAGGGCGAAAAACGAGAGAGGGTTGAGTCGAGTCGAGAAAATAACGCGTTTTTTACTGTCGCGCTGGTTACTATCGCACCTTGTTTTATTAAGGACCTGTTTACATGGAGGTGGGGGACACCAGGAAGGTGAGGTAACCCGCCTGTCCATATAATCTCTCATTTTATCCTGAGCATGTTTACGTGATAGGTGGGGTGACCCACCTAGGCGGGTTGCCCGGTCTGATGGGTAGGGTAACCTTGTCAGCCGGGGAGGCGTTCGTGTTACACTAACATCAAATGAGAAAAAAATAACAAAATACGAGTGTGTTAAATTTTTCGTACATTTTCTAGCCGTCCCATGCAAAGTTTAAACGTTAAAACACCAATTTTTACGTCCTGTTAGCACTGAAACCTCGACAGCGATTGAGTCACGTTTTTACATTGAACTCAACTATACATTCACATGTACCGAAATGAAGACGTTGTACCGTCTGAAACGGTTAACGCATCGAGCTATTGGCGAAAATCTTCGAAGAAAAAATTACGTCTTTTCGGCAACGTTTTACCACACGTCGCCGTAATGACATCGTCAACTCCTTAACTTCACCGCGGCATCCTGAGGTTGTAGGATTGTATGTAAACGCGGGCTATTTTTCGACCACGGCCAGGAGGGTTACCTTACCTACCTGGGGTCCCTCACATCCATGCAGACAGGCCCTAACTGAGCGCATGGAACAGGTTCATGTCCCTCCCCCTTCCCCTCATCCACATTTATTTCTTTTTTCACTTCTTCGAACTCTCACGACTATGTTGACTGGTTGAATAACTTATTTCCGTGTAAAACAACTGGGTAGTTAAAGAAGATCTTTCGATACGTAAAAGAAGTATAACGCTTCTGATTTTTACTCGTGGGAAACCACACTGGACAAGTTCTGGCATGGTTGTGTAATTCTGATTTGGTATGGAATACTCTAAAACAGAATCAAAAGTTACATCTCTTTTTCTTATTGATAATGAAACAATTTTGTTATCTTTTAAAACCGCAAATTAAAACCTGAGTGTATCTTTGAGAAACGTGGATAGCATTTTTTCGCAGTGACGAAAGTCAAGACTTCATTTTATTGACCGAACATCATTTGCATTTTGTTTGAATGAGCAATGTGATGTACTCGGAATTCTTTTGTCATTATAATATTTCATGAAATTGAACAGTACCGCAGATTAGAAGCTACAGCAAATCTTCCATTTTAATAACTGACTAGAGACGGCTGTCCCTTTTTTAGAATTGTATTTATTTTCACAATTGATTTCGATAAAACGAAAATAATTGTAGACATCTTAAAAATGATGTTAAGTAGCACTATGTCTTCTTTTTTCATTCATGTCGGGGAAATGCGATCTCTGATTTTTTTTTTTAAGTTAAGTATGATAACCCCTTAATATTCGAGGGCAGATGAATTTGAATACAATGGTTTAAATAATCTTGGAATAAATGTGAAGAAACTTGACACTCTTCACTCAACTTGAGCTTTCATTTACGGGAAAAACTTTCTTCTGTCGTCCTGGACTGATTTTGACACTGAAGCTTCCATCTTACATCATTAAGGCGGTTATTTTGTGAATAGGAAGCTTAATATCCGTATACAGAGCAATTCTGGCAGCTCAGATCCTATAGGGCTTATTGAAAAATTATTACGTTCACCGTCAAACCAGCGCAATAAATTGTTTATCGTGTTCATCCATCCGGCCTGCGATTGAAACAAGCTCGTGTGTGAATTGAAAAACTTCAATACATCATGTCCCCTGCAGGAGAGCCGTCGTGTTTGGGAAACATTTCGTTTTGAGCTTTTCTTTGCACAGTTGCATATTCCTTAGACGTGGTGGGTGAGTACATACACTCTTTATTTCCTTATTACTGTCTGTCTGTAAAGGGGTTCATATAATCCCTCCAAAGAACGATAATCAAGAAAAGGTGTTCGCGAATCATGGTTCTCCTGTGTTTTTGGGAAGGATCTTTTATGACGCTTATTTTCCGGTCGGTTTTGTTGCCAGTTTTCCTTTCAAAAAGTGTCAATAACTAAAATCTTAAGGCTTTGATACCGTGCAAATCTATCCAAAATAGATTTCATCTCACTGCACCGAAACGCAGAATTTTTAAGGAACGATGAAATTTTTATGAAAGATTAAAACCAATTGATGGAAACTGCCCGGATGGATCTATTTGTAAAGCATGGTTTTAATTTTAGGACTGTACTGGAGAAAATAATATCTCGAGAGTTTTATTATGAGGTGCGTAAGTCGTATATGTAACGTCCTGTTTTGGTTTTTCGCACCAGTAGAATTAAAATCTTTGTTGAATGCGTCAAACTTGAGAATGATAATGGTAATCCGTCAGGAATCACTCGTAGTTTCCGCGAAATATAAGGTGAGAGAATGAAAGACAAAGGTTGGTAGCGATGTTTTACAATTCGTACATTTTCGGCTAGTTTAAATCATCAGGTTTTGAACTAATTTTCATGGAGTATCTCGCGGAGAATGGTCCCTTGTTCGTCATTGACAATTTGTTTATTATGTCCGAATCAGTTCACCTGGCGGATCTGAATTTTAATCACAGTTGAAAATCAACAGTTCACAACTCTTTTATGATGCACTGCTTGTCAGAAACACAAAATAAGTTTTGTTTGCTCCCTGCTGTGGTTATGCCAAACAAAAAACTGAGTAGTCGTTCTGCAATAGTAATGGAAAAAACGAAATACGTGACCAAGAAATTGCCAAATATCACCATCATTGGAAATGATATATATTTTGTCATTTAAAAATAATTAGGTCGCCTAAACCTAGCCGCCCCTGTAGCGGTCGACGCGAAATCTTTGTTAATTTATAAGTATATGACTCGAAGGTAGTGTGTATATTTGAAAGATGGATGTTAAAAAAAATCAATTGTAATTCACAGCCGGAAAAGTAAAGGACGCGCGTAACATGATCTCTTTTGAAAATTGAAGACGAAGAATGGCTTTTATACGAACTAATATTTGATTCCAAGTTAAAAGCCAAGCGTTATTACGGAAGTTCTATTCATTGCGAAGATTTTCAGGACTACTCAAAGATAATGCGTATGGTTGAGTACAAAGGTAAATTAGTTATGTTAAAACAAAGACAAACATATTTCATCATTTTTCCCCTAAACTAACTGACACAAACATTTTTTTCACAGCCATTTAGATTTTAGTTTTGAACACAATGGTGAAAATAAGTTCATGTAAGATGTAGTTTGTGATACAAGGACACAAAGTTTGCTATCTTTTATTTTGAAATAATGCAGGTTTTTGTAATTTTTTTCTCGCTCCAAATGAAAATAATTTAAAACTGACTTTCTCGCTTCACATTGAAACGCCATGCAAATATCAGTTGAATCTCGTTGTGTAATGTCCCCCCTTACGTCTCTGAGAAGCGTTCAAATCGTTTTTAACAGCAACAACTGCATGCCATGTTCAATATAATTTTCCGTGCTAACTTTGAAAATATGAACTGAAAGCCTCGAGAAGTCAAACTTTCCGTTTTCTGTTACCAAGGCTACAAGACAGTGTTACCGGTATAGTGCGGGGAAGTTCGGCATAGACCTTACAACACTCTCCACTGGCCTTGGCACCCCCGCGGGGAGGAGGGGGGCACATCCCTACCAAGAATTCTGAGGATTACCTACACCTGTTGGGTGACAATCCAATGTCTGCTTATCAATATTCAGTCACATTAGAGACAGAAAACTTCAAAGACTTGCATTTTTGTCATCATCAGTTGGAAAGGGGTATATGGTTTTGAAAGGTTACAAATGGTATATGTTGGTTTGTTTGGAAAAGTTGAAGATCATTTTCCCATAAAACTAAATATAAAATGATAAAATAACAAATTGTAATATCCCTTAATGATATTAATAGAACACCATACAGAAGCGTTTCAAGTATACTTATATTTTTTTCGCTCTAATTAATATCTGGTTCATCTGATATGATTTTGCCCTAGGGAAACAATCTAGCCAATTCTTGTTTGGTCCCGGCTTGAATAGCAATAATATTTTATTTTGGGATGATTTGTCTGCTGTTAAATTAAAATTAGACGAGTGGTGTAATGAAAACACATCATGTCGTCTATTTCAATTCAATTATCATTTTAATAAAATGGTATCTCCTCTTTAGATTTTCAGATAAATAGATATTGAAAATGAAAAAACAAAACAACCCATTAGCTATTGATTTTGTTTGTCATTTTTGATAACCGAGACTTTTCGTCCTATATTGATCAAGATTGCATCAAATTTTGTCCGAATTGAAATAACGCAATTATACTTTCTTCACGTAAAGCGGATAACAAGTGAAAGTCGCATTACTCTCATCTCTGTTTCATATTGTTGTCAGTTTATCTTTGATTAACTTTCATTGGCGCGCATATCTTCTCACACCGAGTAGAGAGGAAAAAAGTTATCCATTTATCCAAGAACAAAATGAACCTGCAATTATTTCTGGATCAGTTATAAAAATTGATCAGAAAATAAAGTTATTCTGCACGTTTAAGTAAATTGGAATTCTAAAGTGCATTATTATGTTAAAAATGAAACAATAATTTCGAGTGACCTCAAAATTACTGAAGATATAGAAGACAAATTGTAAAACAGCATGCGTAAAAATCAACAATACAAGACATATTCGGTATTTTCCTTTCATTTTATATATATTCTTTAAAACTTGTTCAGTCTGCCTGATCCTAACCTTGTAAAAAATTACTATGAAAAAAGTGTTTGTACCGATCTATTACACGTCGGCCTGTTCAGTGAAATATCAACTTAAAAATTTTGTACATATCCTAAGAAATATAGCCTGTAATGATCTAACGTGTATAGGTTTGAAATTTTATTGCAATCCACGTCCATTTACTTCTTTCTTACTTAATGTTACCTGTCAAGGATTTGCCTTTCCGATTTTTTACTCTTTGAGCCTACATTCTAACCCCTAAGAAGACATAAATTAATGGAACTGGCAGAAATGATTTGAATAATCATGGAACTGCTTGCAGCATTTCAAGCTAAATACACCCACCTTATCACATAAATAACTGAGCTGAACTGATAGAATCAAACAAAAAATCTATGTTTCGCGGAGCGTCGTAAGAAGAAGCACTCTTAAAGTCATGCCTTAGTTGAGCTGACTAAGGCTATAACTTCTCAAATCATCCAGCTTTCTGAGCATAGAAAGCGATAAAGACCCAGCTGTCTAATGGCAATAAGTTAATTGCCAACGAAAAAAAATACTGAAAATTGCAAACAAAGCCAAAAAAAAAATTCCAACGAAACAGAAAAAAACAATATTAACTGTGTATGATGTGTGCAAATTTTAAATAAGAAACTTGAAAATCGTCATTAGAAACCAAGTTTTTTGCCTTTTTTGAATTACTTAAGAACTATTAAAACCAAGAGAAAATAATGAGACCATTATCCTCGCCTGAGGTAACCATTAACTTTCTTATCACTAAAACCCTGGATGACCACTATTTCATAGAGAGCTTATGTCATCAGTACAAAGCATATCCCAGAGAACTCAAACACGGTGTCCTAATTGATTATAATTATCTGTTGGCTACAATGTAAGAAACATTTGAATAATGCATCTTTTAGTCTCAATTTACACCTGTGGGTACCACTCGAGTTTCCTAAAGAAGTGTAAAATTTCGCTCAAATCAGGTCCAGTCAACGGTCCAGTCTTGGAGTTGCAGCATTTGGTCAGCGGCTTTATATACAGCTGGCCAAATTTGATTTATGTTATACGATTTTTTATTACTCCGGAAAACATATCAGTAGCTTTCGCTGCAACAAAGGAACACTGTATTCTGCATTGTTATATTGCTTTTAACATAAAAAAGAGAATAGCTTACTGTTTGAATATCATTACAGTCAGTAACGCTATTAGAAAGAAATGCATCAGATTAATACAAAACAAAGATCCGTAAAAACATATTTCCAACTTCACGAGAATAACTTTTCTTTTTTAAGGTGTCCATGACTGAAAAAAAAAGTCTTCAAACATAAATTCATAACGCACCGTCTTATTTTAATCTCGACTAAAAAATATAATTACTTATATTGTTTATGATCAGTGTGGCATGTTAGTCAAGTATTCTAGGTTCACATAATTTTAACTTAGCCACTTTTGTTTTTCGTTTACATTACGTTTTTCAGCCAATTCCAGTCTATCAGAAATTCTATATTTGCTTTTCGATTGCATCTAACTGGCACAGCCCCTCGAAAATGAACAAAGTAAACACAGAAATGACACCCCCTATTCAGTATTCAAACTCCTTTGTTCAAACGATTAACAAGTTCTAATCTTCTAAAAGAAGTGATTTGACTACGCATTTGTTGTTCGCTCCACTCCGCTGCTTTGCTGTCCTAATGCATCCAGTGAAAGCGCTGAAGCGAGACTGTCTTTAATATGAGGCTCATTACTCGCCAAATGGATTAATCAAGATATGAGAAGACCACGAAACAGCCTCGCAGTATGGAACAACTTCCAGCTAGCTAGTAAATCGATGGCGCACAGAACTTACACTCAGAGATCAAGATATGCTCAATAACGTTACAAGTAGGTAAATTTTATTGTAAATATGTTCGATGCTCCAAAGATATTCGAAGAGACAAAAATAGCCGAACTGGATCAGTTAGCAACTAAACTGACGTTTGGTTGTTTATCAAACGTAATGCCAAAATGAATAGAGCTTCTCTGAATTTCAATGCGTTTTTAAGGGAGGTATTTTGATCTGACAATCTACATTTCTTCATAGAATATGCCAAGTCCTCAAGATTCTTTAGTCTAGTGAATCTTACTCTTGGAGTCTGACTGAACGAAGTCAAAGCTCAAGTAGATAAAAATTGAAAACTGAGTGTCATGAAGTGAGCGGCACGGTGTGTGTTTTCAGAAGCTAAAGCGATGTTCATATGGCAGCTTTCATTCGTGTTTACTCGGTGATTAATTTATATTCGCTTTATGTGACAATCTCAGGTCTCTCGGAGACAAACACAGTCGTACACAACTTGCTCCAATCACACGTTTTAGTATCCAGTTGTGATTAAAAGCTTTGAACATCGATTTGATGAGAGTGTACTTGTCATTTACCGGCAAAGAAAGCGAGGGAAGATTAGCTTAAACGAGCTTGTTCTGTGGCTTTTGACTGTTTTCCTTCCTCATTTCGTTGTCATTGAGCAAGTATTTATGATGTCTACGTCAAAGCAATATTTTGGAGTGGCAACAACCAAATTCTTTAGAAATGCGCAATCTGAGGTTTATACGAATGCCGTTGTTTCAACTGGCCTTTTTCAACTTGTGAATTTCTTGTCATTTTCGTAAAAAGGGATTTTTATTTTCCATGAGACGTAGAAGAAATCTGTTTGCTTGTAAACAATGGGTGAGCGCAGTCAGTTTGGTCAAGCATCATGTGTGTTTGTTCCCCTTGAAAATGTTCCTAGTTAGAGTTGTCAAGTTGGCAAGGATCGCTGTACATACTCTAACAGATCTCATTCAATGATAAATTACCCGTCCAATATCGTTAAAAGTAAACCAAGAAAACAAGAAGTACGATTTCGCCGCTAGCTTGCAAACATTTCCATAACAATTTGCATCTTAAATGAATGCGAGTGATCTTCGAAGGAATGTGGGCTGCGTGTTTTGTCGAGCTAGCGCTCTTAAGTGAGTTGAATTACTCGGAAGCCAAATGAATTCCATTAAATAATTTCACCATTTTCTTTTATTTTATAATCATTCTATGAATATCTCCTGAAAAAAAGCCAACATTTTAACCCATAAGATTCCGTAACTTTTTCTCCGTGTGGGTTTCAAGTTGTAAATGAGCCATTTAACCCTTGAAATACGATTTAATTTGTTTAAATTGTTTCGTCATGTTTGAGCAACTCCAGAAAATGAATACACAGAGAACTAAAGATTCATCTCTGTGGGATGCAGACCGATATCTCGTCGAGAAAAACAATTGATAAATGCTTGAGACTGAGCCTTTTGCGTTAAAATACATTTGGTGTTGTGTGATGGAGTTGTATCCCGGTGTTTTAATACTCAAAGCGGAATACGGCTTAGTAATGGTTCGATTCTTTCGCTGCTGACTCAATCAGGGCAAAGCTTTCCCAGTCACGAAAATTGTCAGCCCATGTGAACTATACTCCAAACAATGTTAATCGTGTTACTTGGTGCTTGTTGTCGTCAGTTTTCCTAACTCCTGCTTGTTAATGTTCTGTTAATTAATTCATTGTGATGAATTCTTTCGTATTTCATATGATTAATGCTCGGTCTTTATTTATTTTGTTTAATAAGTTTATTTTATTGTATTGGCTAAGAAAGGTCTGCCCTTGAATTTGGAAAAACAGTTTGTGTTTCCATGTAGAAGTTACAGTACTGGACTCTGTTCATAGCCACGCATGCGCGGTTTTCTCTCGAATTTTAGCGTAATGATACATTTGAAAATTTGCACTGATTGTTTTGTGCAAATAGATAGCAAGCACTTTATTTAATTACTTAAAACATAAGCTTCGTAATTTACTATCATGGCTCAAGATCATATGCCACTTGTTTAGATTTTATCAGTTATACAAAGCGATTGTTTCTAAGGCTCAAAGACGGGCAACAACCTTGGTAATAATTGATATTTTACAAGATATGTTCATCAGGACTTCAAATGCCTTCCACTGGCATTGATTTAAACAGCAATCAACAGCTTAGAACTGCCTCTATTAGCTGTTAATAGTCATGTCGATTAATTAATAGTTTAGGTTTTAAAACATAAGCCTATCCAAAAAACAGGCACGACATACAGAATTTTTAATTCAATTAATGTAATTAAAAATTTGAATGCAAACTAGTGTCTTAGAGACAAAACAATGTATTATGGTTTTGAACCACGCTGCAATCGGCCTTTAGACCTCCCACATCGCCGGCTTTTCACTGGATGAAGCCTCGGCGCAATTAATTTACAATAATAGGGATGTACAGCTTTTGAATGAACAATGAGGAACAAGAAGGTTTGCTTGTTAGTTAGGTGTAAATAGGGATAAAAAGTACATGTTGAATGACAGTTTCAGAAAAAAAAACATTGTCAAGGATTCTATGCCTCAGATATTGATCTGGGCGTTCAATTACTGAGTTGGCCCCCAAGTTACCAGCGCTTCTCTTAATGTAAATATCCTGAAATCAGCAGAATGCAACTTTTGTAAGTTCTTAGAGAACGCTGAACTGTTGAAGCAGGATCTAAAATATGTTACATGACTTGATTAGTAAAGAAACACCCCTGTGATGAATCTCTATAAAGAATGGGATCGTCAAGACTTCTCGATGAAAATTGTTTTTCAATTCTTACAATCCTAGAAGATTAAGAACATTATTCTGTAGCGCCAATGTGCACGGATTCGGCTGATAACTTGATGCTGAGTTAAAACTGTCACAAACTACCAAAAGGGAAATTAAGGACGTTTGGGTTACCATACACAACAGACCGTTTGGAACGAAATTAGACCACGATTTCATAGTGTTTGCCGAAAACCACCACAGCCGCTTACAAAATCTAAAGATTTAACATTATTTTGCAGCTAATCAACATTTTGTGTTTTGGTCTCAAAGATATAGCCTTAACCAAGGTGTATAACTTGTATATGCTTGTTAACTGCAGATATGAAATGCGGTTTACACCATATTACAAAAACATGTGGCTTCCTACAGCGACAGGACAAGACATCTTGAAAGCTGCGACAAGCAGGTGTCTTCTAAATGTGAATAGAAAAGAGACTTTACTTGAGCACGCATCGATTTTTTTTTCTACACAATTTTCGAGATTCTAACCAGAAAAACAAACAGCTTTTACCGTTAACATTCCTAAAAATAACCTTTAATCCTTTTAGTTAAGAGCATAATGGCTTACCATTTTTTGTCCTAACTTATTCCAGATCATCATTCTTATGTAAATATTAATAGTTACTAAGACAATAGACAATACCTCAGCCACTGCCGCTTAGATTAAAACTTACACATAATTTATGGCTTATGGTCTCATTTTGGATAAGTCGACTTAACGTTCTGAACGTTTTTCTTTATAAATCTTTCTTGGTTACAGCTGTAAATTGCAGTGTCGTATTGGTTAGGAATCCTGCGTTTTAGATATGTAAGGTATGCAATATTTGGTTAATAATTTTCTGAACCGATTCTTGTGAGTTCACACGTTAAATACTTTCCGGTCCAGTTTTAGTCAATGAAAGAGTTAACGTAGCAGAAGCGGGCCGAAATTGACCGTAAACACCGTTTTTAATCAGCCATACTTAACAAATATATATAGCATTTGACATAATATTCTTGTTACACTACACACTAAGCGTACTTCAATAATTCAGCAAACTTGCCTTAATTCTCGACTTCGCTGTAAGCTACTTAACTTTACTATTCACACTGTGTCCGACCTATATTTTCTTGACCTTAGAGCCGTGTCAGATTAAGGTAATCAGGCCAAAAAGTATTGGAAATTACTCTTCAGCCGCGGAGTTTGTGAGTCCCTTTATGCAGATTCCTTTTGGTAAATAATTTAGCCGACTAATGGATTCGTTTTATGGATCATCATTGCCACAAGGACTACAAGGAAGAATCCAACCGAATTCAGTCTTAAGATAACTCGTCCATGCAAATATCATTGTCTAAAATGAATCCATGCCTTGAGGTCTCTAGCACTGCCTTTTCATCTCTTGAATATTTAACGCCGCCAAAAGCTAAACTTCATAAATATTGAATGGATTTCCTTTCCCTTCATCAGTTTGGGAAACAAAATTAGCATTATGTTGTTCCGGAAAAGGTGATAAATTTACCGTGAATTCGTTCAAATTCTTTCTTCTTCAGAACTCTCATTGGTTTGTGGTGTTCGTACATATACCAAAGGATAAAATTTGAAATTTCGGAGGTTAGACAAAATAAAGAGTTAGATGCCTTTTGATATCGATAACGAACTGTAAACCGCATAAAGTGAGACAAATTGAAAAATAAATTTAAAAAAAATGATTATTAATAAGAAGTAAGAATTGAAAACAATTGTAGTCTAATTTTATGGCTAGGGCAAGGAAAACAAGTGACAACATAGTGTTTACAAGATATTCTTTAGTATTTTTTCTCAATTTTTATCTTTTATTTTGATGGTTGGTTTTATTTACTAGCTGTTCCCATCCTGCTGTTCTTATTTTCATATTAGTCCTCTTATATTTTAAGTTTTCTTTTAATTAAGAGGTGTAAATGCAGATCAATATCCGAATAGATGGAAATATTACAAACGGAAGTTATTTGTGTAACAAGCGTAATGTGGCTTATATTGGCTTGTTGAAAAGTTAAAGCCCAAGGCTAAATAAACGCTACTTGATCAGTCTTAACAGCCTTAATATCTATTCCTTATCTTGCTCGTTCGTTCTTTCGTTCGCCAGTGCGGGTTCGTCTGTTCGTTCTTTCGTTCGTCAGTGGTTTGTTTGTTCGTTCTTTCGTTTGTCAGTTGTTCGTTCTTTGTACTTTCGTTCGCTAGCCGTTCCTTCTTTCGCTCCTTTGTTAGTTCGTTCTTTCGGTTTTGGTTCGTTTGTTGTTTCACTGATTAATTGATTCTTTTCTCGATTTGGTTATTTTTCATCTTTGTATGAATGTTTGTATGAATAAATTTATTCATTTGTTTACTTACTCGTTTATTTGTTTTAAATGTGTTTGTATTTCTGACTGATCTTAATTATTTTTCATGATCCATCTTGAATATTGTGTACAGTCTTTGAGGCGCTTTTAAACCTTTAAATTTATATTGTACCATGGCAATTTATTTAGACCTGTCAAAAATCTCCTTCAGGTCCTTCATGTTGTATTACTGTGACGGATTCATGGAGCCATGCGTAGCTGTGTCTCTGTTATCGTCATGTTAGGGTCACTGGTAGAAATAATGTCATGGCACTTTTATGAAAGGGGCTCGGTAATGACTATTAACCTATATCCAACCAATCAGCGACAAGCACTAGTGGTGAGCAGTGACATCATCCATATGGACACGAGGTTTGTTTCATCTGTGGCCAAAAGTATTTGCCCTCAAACTGAAATGCGGAGCGAAACCGAGAAACAGTTTAACTAAATTGCACGAGACATTTATTAATTTGTTTCGATTTCAATAGGAAGTGAAAAAATTCATTGTGATCCACAATTTAGCAATTAGCAATTCTCTCCTGTACGTGATGTACAGTTTTACGTAAATTTGATAGTTAAATAAATTTTTCAACATTACCATAACGCCCATATTCTAGCTGATTAATCTGTCTGTTTTCATAACCTTTTGGCTGGATTATGCATTTTAAGAAGAAGCCATCCTTTATTCATTTCTAATTGATACACCTAATACCAGTAACTTCGTCATAGAAAAAATTAAAAAGAAAATACGGAAAAGCGAAATTCGAATTAATGAGCTTATTGCATGGATAAGCATACAGCATGAAGAGATAGGGATGTATTTTAATTTGTGGAGTTGATAAAAATTTCCAAACACCATCTGATACTCTTTCGAAGTTGAAATAGTTTTTCAGCGGAGATTCTGTGAAAAGTTTTCGACTGCTGGGCATAACCGAACATATATGATAAAAAGATACGGCGATTGAGGAAATAGATGACCAACAGGATGGTAAACAAAGTCGCGTGATCTCGGCGAACGGCTAAGCGCATGATTCGCCTTTTTTATTTCATGAAGACTGTACTAAGAAGCTATAAGAAACTTTCTGCTTTGCGTCTTTCAGCTAGTTTTAAGATGGCAGCAAGTTACTTTAGATGTACAATTTTGTGACCTTTTTAGGGACGAATGGAAACTTTCAGCAGAAAGTACTAGAGTTGCATGATTAGTTTTGAATCACTTTAGAAGATTCACTTTTCAACACCCACGCTGTCTGCACGACGCTGTCCGAAAAACGGCTGTTAATGAAAATATTCAAAATACGAACGCCAGAGCGGAAACCAAGACCTCTACATGCATCTCACAGTTAAGATTTGGGGGCGATGTTTTGTCTGCGACAGAGATGATCATTTATAGCATATATTTTTTATAGCAAGAATAACAATTGCCCGGAAAAAAGAGTCAAACAAAAATATTTCTTCTTAGTGAAGGTCAGAAGCTGTCGTCAGTTACTTGGTAACTTTTTCTCTCAATTTACGCAGAAAAAATATCAAGGTAACGCGAGTTATAAAACGAGAGTTTTGGGCACCTTCTTAGAACATGATGACTAAAGTTAAAAGGGCCTTATCATTTATTCATTGAGTAGTTACCTCCGCTTCTTTCTAGATGTTGCTTTGCAATAGAGAAATGCCAAGGTGGAGACAAAGTTCATGAGCAGTGTCAACAAAATCACGAGACATTTGATCAACTGCTCGAGGATTACACAAAAACAGGTACGAACAATGCACACAGTCCAGTAAGGCGGCGAGTAATGCCCATGTTGGTGATACTTTTCTCTTTGCTTTTCATCAGAAAATTAATCTTGTACGTAGAGGTTTTGACATGATGTTTTCGCTGAGTATACAAAGTAAGTGATCCGTCCTTCATGATAAGTTCAGCCAGTGGAGTCAGTCAAACATTTTTGCCATATGCCTTAAATTATTCATAACTTGCCAACGAATTCCTGACTAACAAATTCGTTTGAAAAGGTACTAGATAACATCTTTTAAACTTGCCTGCCAAGAAAAAATTAGCATAAAGAATAAGTAACACATGTATCAACTCAATCAAGCAGATTATTACAGCTCACGGACAGAGTAGTTTGCTCTATTGCCAGTAAATCTTGGAGGTCTTCATTTCGTTTTTCACCTTCGCTGATCAAGTCCGAAAGGACGACTTGAGAATCCGATGGTGGCGGAATGAATCTTTTCTGATAAACAAGATACATACAGACCGTGATATAAAGTATAATAGCATGCTAGCCTGAACTTCGGACAGTCAGGAAACCACGAATTTTTCATTGCGTGAATAAAATAACAAGAGTCACGCCACGGTGAATATCAAATGGCAGTCTGAGTAATCATGCGAGCTCAGAACAGAGGTGAAGTAAAAGTCATTATAATACCAAAACAGTTGATGTTGGGATGGTATTCCACTGGGATTTGTCGTGAGATGGAACGTTAGGTTTAAATAACCAATGGCGTCTGAGCACAATAGCACAGGTGACAAAGTGAACGTGTTTCTTACTGACGCGGATCAAAGGGCTTGATAGACACAATGCGTCTTTCAGGTTCATTTATCAGGAAGTAACTTCAACTGTGTGATGTAAGAGAAATGTTATTGACAGACAGATGTTATACCGTTGTTGAATAAACATATAGAAACTTCTGGAAACTTACTTCCATTTAAGCTGTGAAAAAAAAGTCAATTTTCTGGTTAAAATTACAAAGGCTAAACATGATAAAATATAAAAAGGAAAACAAAACAAAATGAAGCAAAACTAAACAGGATCTTTTCTAGTAATAGAAAAGCGACAACAACTTGATAAGACGTAAAATGCATATAAGTGAGAAGCTCTAAGATAAATATCGTCATAATCTCTCCATATGTTTCTTGCTGGGGTGTATATCCTTAACCCGCCTTGCTATCGTTTTCATGATTATCTCTGGAAAAGAAAACCGCAAAAGTAGTCAGGAAATGCGCCCGTCTGATAAAAATCGCACTTTTTAGCATATGAATAAATATAAAGAATGGGAGTTTCTAGGCTTAAAGTTCCAACATGGTGAATTAGAATTTTTCTTTTCTGCTATGAGTACAATCTGAGGATGTATGGGGCAGCCTGGTCTTGATTATTTTTTCTTCTTCTTTTCTAAGGTTGTGACATTTTCGAGTTCCTTCCAGGATCTCGACTAATTGCGGGTTTACTTATGGATGGATCAAGAACAATTTTGAACGGAGCAAAGTTTGCATCTCGTCTTCACTTGGAGAACGTACTACTGAATCTTTTGCTTATATTCTTCGTTAATGTATTACTAAAAAAGAACATTATTTCTTTGGAATTACAAGTCATAACAACAGCGATTCTTCAGTGGGAAAATGCCCAAGCAACTCTTTCACCAACGCCGTCATATACGCTTTCATCAAGTGCGCACATAATCAAACCCTCGCCGCCAGCTAACAATTCTCTCTCAAGTGAAACATCTCAAGGGAAAAATCAATTGAATTCACAAACGGCAGCTGTCACAGAAACAAACTTAGAGTATTCACAAGGTAAGGTTACCCTCTTATCAATAAGTTTCGGGGCCAAATATTGCTTAATGCACCACATATGTTTTTTATTGTTTCTTCACTTATTCCTGACGAAACGTATTTACGTAGAAGTCTTTAAATGTCACGTCTTCGTTCATTAGTCTACTCGCCTATTGATTTATCATTCAGTTATTTATTCTTGCCCTTTACGTTTGCTTACTCGCCAACAGTTAGGCATGAAACATTTCAGACACTAAATTTGTTTGGGGTTGAAGAAAGAATAAATGCAGGTATGATTCAAAATCTTAAATTCACGACGCCTAAGGCGCGGACAGCCAGTCTGGAGCAGAATTTGAGACTAATTTTCTTTACTCCCATATTTTTTGTTTGGCGTTTGTTGTCCCAACGTCACTAACTTTTTAATTAAATTAACTGACACAGGAACCAGGGTGAATGGGCCTTCAGGGCATTCTTTGCTGTGCAAAATTAAAAAAATCTGTGAGTAGTGATTAGATTTTAATCTTGGCACAACTTACCCTCCTAACTGCCCTCGCCAGTCCCTCAGGCTATTAAAATAGACCGTCCATGAGGTATTTTTTTTGGGGGGGAGGGAGTGGTGCGGGTGAAGGACAAAAACCATCATCGACCCAGGATTTAGTAAACAGTTTAATAGACAGTTGTTCTTTGTTTATCTTGGCAGGAACTTGTGATGAAGATTGGATTCACGAGGGAAATTTATGTTACAGAATTGTTAAAGAACTGAGACAGTTTAATCACGCTGAAAGATTCTGTGAGATGAACTCTGCTCATTTGCTATCAATTGCAAACAAAGAAGAAAATGATAAGATTTTTGATTTAGTTAAGAAGTTTTTAGGTCCACCTGGTAAAATTAAAATATGGCTGGGGATGGAAAGGCTATCTTCTGATTCAGAACTCCATTGGATTGATAAAACACCAATCACTTTTAATAACTGGGCACCTGGAGAGCCCGATAAGAACGGCGCATGCGTGCAAATGATTCATAAGGGATGGTGGGAAGATGCTTCATGTGTCCAACGACTTCCGTCCATCTGTAAGAAAGGTGAGTATCTCATTTTTTTCAAAAGTTCTCCTTTTAATAACATAACTTAAAATATTTATAATTTTTTCTTTTTTTTTTTGCCTATAGGTAGCAAAGAGAATCTGCCTTACTCCAGAGCTACAGAGCTTGGGATCCTGATCGGCATTCCACTCACGTGCTCTGCTATTATGTTATCAGTGGTAGGTGTGCTCCTCGTCAGAAGCATTTACGACTCAGAAGGAACTTACTACGGATACGGAAAAAATCGTAACAAGGACAAATTACACTCCTGCCTTGTCACCATGACAACGAGCATTGCACATGTCTCAACTATGGGGTATAATGACGAGAGACGATTCAGTGAGACCAGTATAAGGTCTAATCATTCTGCACAATCTTCGCGCTCCCATGCTAATACTCATGCCGCTGATCATTCTCGCGGTAACTCCATCGTGGAAGCTCCGGAAATAAAAATCACTCCAGAGACACCTGAAGCAGAAAGACGATTTGAGGCCAGAGTATTTGCATCTTCTAGCACGAGTATTGACCAAGAAAGGTTTCAATCAACCACAAGCCTAGAGAATCTGCTGTCGAGGAAGTATATCAAGTCTAAAAGTCGCCGATTACGTTCATTACGTAAGTCAGAAGCTGTTGTTACACCCGCTGGGCACGACGGGAAATATACAAAGAAAGAGGACCAATTTGAATTTTATGAAATCTAGTTCTTAACTAATGGTAAGAAATTTTACTTAACTTAGAAAAGTTTGAATCAATGACATATGGACGAGAGCATCTCGATGTTGTATACAATTTTTTGTCATTTTCGAATTCATTGGCTATCTGGCTCATCTGTTTGCAGTCAGTTTCACTGTATGCCGGTTGGTGTGGAGACTTTTCCACAAGAGAATGAATTAATGCGATGGCAAACTCGAAAAAATGATATATTGGGAACATTCTTACGTTCACCTAAGCTTTATCACCTAAACTGTTATGAACTGCGATAAGCTTTATTTCTGTCTATAGCAGTTGTGAGTCGCTTTATTAGATAACGATTAATTTACTATTTATAATGACTTAGGTGCCTTAATTGGTCATCTATGGAAATTTAAAACACATTTTACATAAAAGAAACAAACTATTAAATTCAAATATCTATTCTTGGTAAAGGTTTCATTTCAAAACCTTTCCTAACCTTAAGCAACTAGTTTGAAATTTACATGGATGTCGTAGCTGCGCTATGTAAAGCTAATCTTTAAGTGCCAATTGTTCATTAAATCATCCATTTTTGTTAGTGATAGGTATTTTGGTTCGCCTTTTCAAAAGAAAGTTCAGCATCTGGTGTCAATGATGAAACATTCCGATAGAGCTATCCAAAACTTATCCAACACAATCTGTGTTTCTCAGGAAACTGTTCAGAGACAATTTTTTTTTCTTAATAGGTTTGCTATGATAGTGACACTCTGTTAGGACACTCTAATTATTTTTATAGTTAAGATCACAAATTAAATATAATTTTGTAAGTTAAAAAATAAAACGCACCAGAAGTAAGGTATCAGCGTCAGTACTGTGCCTCTTGTCATATTCCGCATACAGAGAACTAACCGATCTCAGGGACAGTAACCTTTCAAACGGGGAGCCGGATATGACAGCGTTTAGTCATGCAGCGCTTGTGCGCAAACAAAAACTCAGCTGTGTATTAATTTACAATAGGCAGGGCCAAGTCACTCGAAGGACATATAAACTTTTCCAACAAGTAAATCGCCATTCACTGCGTAATCCACTGAGTACAGATTTATCCACAGGATAGCGTTATCCACCCCTCGAACAACCGTTAACAATTGTTGGCTTTCAATGGCGTTACAGATGATTCTCAAACAGGTTGTTTCCAAACTCCATCATCCTGTATGGCTAATAGTTGTTTTGAGTGCTCGATGAAAATAAAGGTGGAAATGATGCAAACGATCAGTTCAATTCCTCAAACACACACAACGCCGTCACTTACATAACTTAAACTCTACATTTTTACCGCCTGAAACAAGTACGGTATCAATACCCTAAGTCGGACGAGACCATTACTACACATATGTATCCTTTGTGTTTCACAGTCTCTGTGATTACAGTGTGGGGAAGGAAAGGTGATGAGTTGGGGAAAGAAAAGCTAATATTCAATTTTGGCTGATAAAAGGGACGTTCATTTGAATTCGAAGTGATGCGCTAACTCAAGGATTTAAGTTAAATGTCATTTTCTACCCATACAATTTAAGTACGTCTATTCTTGGGTGAAGAATCATATAACGGTCCGTTACCGCGAAAATAGATTTAAATGTCTCAAATATTAGGGTATTCCATTAGAACCACATTTTATTGGGTTCATCGCGGCACTGAAACTCATCCGGAAAGAGGCCAAGCCGTTTTCCTTAAAAATTTGCTCAAACAAAAATACGTTACAATGTCTTAATCAATAACTTTTTTCCAAACTATGTACATAATTACATTTTGGTATAATAAATAGTGTCTCAATGATATACATTTGAACTTCTTGAAAATTGACATTTGAAAGGTTATTTGGTATTTTTCAGATACTGAACTGATCCACAGAAGACCAAAAACAAAAACTATTTTTTATAAAAATATCGGCTTAAAGCTATATTTCTGACTCAAACGCCATTTCCAGTCATAAAACAGTTCAAATATAGTTGTCTTGATTATTCTAGTTCTGTAATTTTCCTGATCATTCTTTCTCTTTCTCCATGACACCTCAATCTCTTTGACCAAGTTATTAAGCAAGATAAGCCAAAGCCTTCTGATCTTTTGTTCTCTTATCAGACAGCCCATCGAACTTCACTACACTTCTTTCTGTTGGGATTGTTAAACTACCCAATGTGGACTGGACTCTTGGACCTCTGAATGTCAGATCTTGGCGAGCACTAAGAGCCTTATGTACCATTTTCGTAGCCTGGAAGTGATGGACAACAAAATTAAAACGATACTTCTTAATCAGCAGTCAGAAGGATCCTCACGAACAAAAGCTTGCAAGATGTTCCTTTATCACTCATGTTTGAAATACCTTAGTTCTCTACTCATAAGAAGTAAACATATTCCTATCACTGATTATTTCCTGACACGGTGTATTCGAAAACTTCGCCACCATTATTTCAAACCAGCATAGTTCGCATAAAATTTCGCTGTTCATACAGAAAAAAAATCAAATTACAACAATTTATTTTAAAAGAAGTATTTATATGAACAGTCTTTGCTATTTGTCATTAGTTGGCATGCAACTTGTGGTTATAAAAATTTATCTACCTTTTTCTTCCCCTTTATAATATTGATGTGGAAATCCTGTTCCTCCATACAAACTCGCATTTCAGGGAATACCGAGCCACGAATTGGAGGGAGAATTGATTTGCCACTAAATCTGGCAGCTGTCTCTGAATTCTTCGCACCTGTCGTATTAGATAAACATTAATATAAAAACAATTATTATTTAATATTTCCTTACTCGGCAAGATATGTAAATCAGGCCCGCTTACGTACTCAATTTTAATCCTCAATCTGAGAGAGAAGTGTTTAGTGGATCTAAAGCGCTCTTACAACCTAGACTCTAATTTAGTTCATCTGTGTCGTACCTGTAGCATGCTGAGACAGCTCTTGATAGCTGTTTGTTTCTCTGATGGAAGCCTCGGCCTGACGCGCCGCTGTTATTCCCATGTGACTCTTCATGACGTCAGTGATTGATCTCCCAGGAAAAAGGCGCGAAAATATGGAGACAACCTCTTTGTTTTCTGGATCCAAAGATAGTGAAATAAGAACATCATACCGAGCTCCGTCCAAATCCTACACACAAACAAACAAACATGTGATTATTTTCGTTATGTTAATCGGCGTGGATTAACATAATTATTACATGAAACACACAGAGCAAAGAAGGCAGATATGAAGGTGAGGTAAAGTGATTGTTTCGGTTTCAAACTTCTTTAAAGGTCACTTGAAGTAAAGTAACAACAAATTGAAAGCAGCCACATAAGTTACAAATTTTTCACTTCACAGTAAGTTTTTTAATCCACTCACGATTCCAAAACTTCATTCACCAACGCAGTTTACTCTTGGTGCTGCATTCACATCCATGAACTGCGTCATTCTCACCCTCCCCCCCCCCCCAAACAGCGGTTGAATGTGATCTAAATTGGGCATCTGCCCCCCGTTTAATTTTCACCGTACCCCTTAGTAACAATGAAGGAAGTAAATTTCCGCCTGCAACGCTGGACTTTGGATTCAACACTCACTCATGGCGATAAGAGAAAATTCGAGTTAAATGCGTTTAATTGCGAAGGTGCACCGTAACGTGTCAAAGCTACTGTTCTGTAATTCCAGCCTGTGAGTTTACATGGCGGATTTCTTTTCATACATCATGAAATTGAGGAATTTCATCTTGTACCATACCTCGATCATGTACCGGGCCCTGGCGCGTGACAGGTAGTAAGCTCCAATGCGGGGGTTGTAGCGGATACACATGGTAAGATGATCAATAGCCTCCAAATAATGTCTGTCGTAATACTCCAGTATACCAAACTCATTATAAACAATAGACAGTCGGCATCTCACGGACCAATCACTGCTGTCCATCTCCAGTGCTTGCTGGTAGTCGGAAAGAGCAAAGTGCAACTCATTCAGCCGGAAGAAACAATCTAAAGAGAAGATAAAGGAAAATGGACATTGAAAATTTGCTGCTAAATAAATAACACATTTTGTACATGTTAGGTAAAGTAAAGTTTACATACCTCCTCTGTTGATATACAGTCCTTTTTCTTTTTTCTCCCCTTTAATCGCTTTGTTCAGAAGAACAACTGCTTCATCATAGAATTCTTTCCTAAAAACCAAAATAAAATGCATAAGTCAATTAATTAATTAACAAATTATTAATGCACCAGAAATTTCAAGTAAAAGCTCCACAAAATTTGCTTTTACATGTACTCAAGATATATCAGATCTACATGTGATGTTTAAACAAATTTTGTTACAGAGCATCAAAGTTTTTGCGAGTTTTCAAGGCTTTTTATACATGTAGCTTTGCCTCATTGACTGTTTTATTGAGGATGCTGGTATCTAGACGACCATTTTACTTGGCTACCAGAAAATTTTGAGTAAACTGTAAACTTTGCCATTTCAATCACAATCTGGGTTCAAACATAATTCTAATCTAACAATGAAAATGAATTTATCTCTCTATTTGGCAGCTGTAACACTAAAGAGGGGCCTTGCATCAATGGTGAAAAACACCATAATCAGGCAGGAAAAAAAATTTTTCTGTCAAACCCTGACCCTTATTTTTCTTACCTGAAGCATTCCACAGCAAAGTCATTATAACAGAGAAGTAACTGTCTCTGTGCCTCCTTGTATGTCTCATTTGATTCCTCGTGATCAGTTTTATCCATGGCTAGTAGATAATCATCTATAGCAGCATTGAAATCAGACATCCTTCTATGAAGACTGCCACTAAAGAAATACACACATGTCATCTTGGAATACAAGGAAATCAAGAGAGGGCTCCATACTGAACATAGAGTACAGGGCGTACCACCCTAACAGTAATGTAATCAAAGCATCTACATTGTAACTCTGACCAACTGACTGACTCCCTGAGTGATTCACTGAACTGTTGGCTGACTGATTGTGGTACTGCTAAATTAATTGACTGTATGGTGAAGTGTCTCTAATTTCAATAAGGTTTTTTTGAAAAACAGTATATTGTGCACTTACCGAAAGACGTGGAATTCTGCCATGGATGGATTAGTTTCAATAGCAATGGAGATTTTGGAGAGAGCCTCTTTTACCTTACCAACCAAATGTAACTGTATGGCCTATTACAGACCAGAAAAAATATCTCTAAGTCAGCGACAAAATTTTGTTGAAATCTTATAAAAGCTAACCAAGAAATGAATACATGTACCAATATCTGATATATTGATCCAATAATTTTCTTGCACCAAACAATAATTAGAGCAGCTACTCGGTAATAGAATATCAAAATTATATGTAAAATTGAAGATTTGATAAGAAAATTAAAAAAGGTCATGAGAGAACAACTAAACTTGATCAACATAGAGTCTCTGTGGCGCAGTGGTAGAGCATTGGAGTGCAGAATCTGAGGGTCTGAGGTTTGATTCCTAATGGGAACTCAGAATTTTTTATTTTCCCTTGCTCATGATAAGGCAAAAAACATATTTCTCCATTTCTTCACCAAGCTCAAAATTTACAATCTCTCTTATCCCATTTGTAAACTTTTCTAATTGTAACACTTTCAAGTTGAGACTAAATAATGCCACATTACTGTTGGTATTAGCCATACTTACCTGTTGTCTGCTGTCCTTTGCCCTCTTTTCAAGTGATGCCATAAGAGTTTTAGCTTCTGTGTTATCTGGAGCTAGTGCAAGTGCATCTTTGACATCATAGTAGCAAAGAGTTGACTACAAAATATGGTAAAACCATTTGTTAGAAAGAGAAAATCTCTACCAGATAAAAGGATGACAATCTAAGTTTCTAACCACAAACAGTTTAAAATTTTACATCAAATTTTTATAGATTGAATTAATCCCATAATGAAAAACTGTTATTGTACAGTATGTAATGTGTTCTAAAATCACTTCACAAAGTTAAAAACTGTAAATAAAATCATCAATAAAGATTCTATGGTTGTGTTCACACTGAGATATGACTTGACTGATTGAGGAACTAGAAAACAATACATTTCTCTCTCAAGGAGAACATTTGAATTTTTAAGACACAAGTTCAAGCCTTTGATTTAGACAATTGCTCACATTACGGAACAGTTCATGAAGTCTGGCTCTCATGATGAAAAGGTCTGGGTTCTCAGTTTCTTCTTCAAGTCGTTTATTAACAAGTGCTAAACATTCTCCATGTCTTTGAAGAGCAGCCAAGCAAGCCACACTGTAAAATAATAATAATAATAATTAAAAAAAAAAAAAGGTAAAGTACAATTTCAATGGTCATGAATGAGTAACATCATCATCATTAAGTATATTAGTACCCAGGATTAAGTCTCTCACCTCCTTGTGTGATAACCAATCACCTCAGGTTTCATCTCAGCTGCTCTAGAAAATGATTCCAATGCTTCACTGTAAAGTTTTTCATCAAATAAACATTGTCCTTGTAAAAAGTAAAGGAATGCTAATCTAGAATAAGTCAAATCATTATCTGGATCCAATATACATGCTTTTTTAAAGTTTAAAATTGCTGACTGAAAGTCACAGATCTGTAAGTAACTCTCCCCTCTTGCAATATAATTTTTCACAATGTCTGGCTTCAGAGAAATAGCTTTATTGTAGGATGTTATGGCTTGGTTATGATCTTCTAATTCAGCAAATGTTAGGCCTTCAGTGAAACTGCAATAAAAATAGCAAAAGAGATAAATCACTACCTGTCACAATAAAAAAATGTGTATCGCCTGCATGTAGCTAAACAAAAGGGATTGAAAATATCCTCTCCAGTAAAAATACAAAATTCAACTAACAAGAGATAAGAATAGACAGACATAATGCCTTATAGATATAAAAAGACCTCTTCTAAAATAATCTACAAGGAAATAAAACCCAAGTAAGAAAGATAAAAATAATTAAATACAAGTACATGTCTTGAAAATAACAGTCAGTAAACCCTTTTTTTAGAGGATCTCAGTGGTCAACTTTAATTTTACACACAAAAAAATTGAACAAACGTTTTCTAACCACTTTTGTACCAGGGAAAGATAGGACAATTCTACAGATATAGACGAAAATAGTAAAAAAAAAAAAAGGGAAGGTAATCTATCAAGTTTTAATGTTTACAGCTATACGTGGTCATAAAAGTACTAAGTACTCCAAAATGGTGGGATGCCTTTATGTTTAACAGACTTAAAATGATCGATTTTAAGATCTATAATTGATATCACTTTAATTTAACACTTCTCACCGCTGAAGACATTTAAAATTTCAAAACAGAACGTATACTTACTGTTGTTCAGCTTTGGCGTCTATGACAGTTTCTGTTGTTAACACAACAATCGACTTTCTCCGGTAATTTGAGTGAGGAGTGTTCGTAGTTGGAACTAGCTCTGCCAGTCGAAACGAATTAACTATAGTCTTCCTTCTCTTCCGTATTTCTTTGGTAACCTCGCGGCTAAGAGGCGAAGGCTCTTCGCCATTGTTTTCGTCCGATTCTGAGTGTGGTTCAACAAATTTTACAAGAGCAGTTTGAAGAGAGGGAACATCGCTTTTTTCCTCTGCATTTCCATTTTCATTTTCTGAAGAAAGTCTGACTGGTGCATCAATTGGCATTTTCTGTATCTACTGTTGCTGCTCTTTTTCTTTTGTGGAATCACAACGTTGATAAATTCACACTTAAATTGTTAACTTAGTATTTCCGCCAAGCCAGACGCCATGTTTGTTGTGTCTCAATGGAAACGTAACGGTGTTCATATATATCGCTGGCTCAGGTAAATTACTTAGTCCCTCGCGGCTTTGTCCGATTCCCTGTGATAATTTCTTCTGGAAGGAGCCGACTTTAATTTCACCATTTCACAATGAAAAAGCACTTTTTGGGAAAATTACGAAACCTTTTATTAGTTTTCAAAGGTTAAGAGCAATCTATCTGTCCCAATGTTATTCCTCCCATGAGAAAAAAGCAATCGATGAAAACAGAATCCGTACGGTAGTCTTGAATTAATGCTTTGACATTTGTATCGACTCAATTTCGGAGTCTGGAGTTTTATTTCCGTCTGTCGACTTTTAATTTTCTGACTTTTGTCTTTGGATTTCTAATTTCCAACTTCAGCCATGCAGTTCGGATCTAGGACATTCGATTTTGGAGTGCGTCTATCGACTTCCGGCTTCGCACTTCCAATTTCTGATTTCAGATTTCGGATTTCGAACATTCGATTTCGGAGTTCGGAGCTTTTTTTTTCCCAACCTTTGACGACTTTCATTCATTAGTTGCTACATGTTTACCTTCGACTTACATGGTCGACCTTCCTTTTTTCAGATTTCGACTCTTAAGTGCCATTTTCAACGTCCACTTTCACTTCGGAGGTCCAACTTTCTTCTTGAGTCAGGATACAAAATCAAAATATGAGAGCATTCTAATCACTTAGAAAAGAAAGGTACAGCGGTGTCCCAGATATATAAGAGAGAAATTATGTTTCAAGTCCACAAATTAAATAAGACAGAACTTTTTAAACCTAGGAGTTACTAGCGTCTTATCTCTCCTCCTAGTACCATACATGAATTAAATCTTACGCTAAAGAGAATTAGGCAAGTGATCCACAACTTGAAGTGCTTTCCATTCTTGAACAAATTCTCCTAGTCAGCACTAAAGGGGATGGAGGGTGAACAGTATGTAGAATATGCAGTAATGTTAGGGGTGTCAGGAGTTGAACAAATAGAAGAAAACAGTTCGCAAATAACAGGGAAAAGAAAGGATTTTTCAATTAATTTTTAATGAAGAAAATAACTTTGCGAGAAATTATAAACAGTTTATAACCAACCCACACATTCTTAAGAAGGAATAAGAATAACTGCTGCATGCGTAGCATGACTATGTTTTTAATACTGTTTTAAAGAAGTTCTATTTATATTAAAACACTCTCAAGCACTCAGTCGAAGAAGAGTAATGCGAATGAAAGAAAAACAAACCCGGCCTTTCAATTACTTTGCCCGAGGAGTACTCGAGCCGGATTTTTCTTGCTCATAAAGCACCTGGGCACTCCTTCCTTCTGGGCTAGAGAAAGCTAAACAATGTCCTGAATAAATGTTGCATTGGTCATCCTCCCTCCCTCCACATTATCCGTTCGATTTTTATCAATTATTAAAAACAGAAAGTTTTGGAAATTCATCCAATGCTATTGTAACTGAGAAAATAGAGACACTTCCACAATAAACTTCAAGCAGTCATGAATTAATAATAACGGTGTTACAGTCTTAACTCACATTCAAAATTCAAAATGTGTAATACATGGCTAACTTTGCTATATATATTACTCGGATATATAAATCATGCGTTGTATGTCATCTATTATAAAGTAATCCTTTGTTTTATAAATCATCAGAGACAGAAAGCTCTAGAAATTGCCATATCAAATTTAGTTATGTGCAAAATAGAGTTGGTGATCTAAATATCGAATAGTTATGAATTAATAATAACGGTCCCACCTCACATTCAATTTTTAAAATGTATAGTACGTGGTTAACTTTCCCGCACATTATGTTGGTATGTACAGTAACTCTCCATAAAGAGGCGTCATCTTCCAGAAGTCTTCAGCGTGATTCACGTTTTCGTTTCGCTCATTTTATCGACCATCTTTTTCACATTCTTGATGTACCTGAGCTTGAATCCATTCATGTCAGGGATCGAAGAGTTTGTCTGCTTTATTGTCTAAGAGATAAGCGATGTTTCTCAACAAACCTTGCTGCTAAACCTGATATCAATGGTAACTATGTTTGTGAGCTGCTTCCCACAGACAAGTATAACGCTTCTGACAGCTTTAAACCAAGTCAACACTTTAATCACTACAGTGCCAAGGTATCGCATACGCCATTTTACTTTTTTATAAGTTTTATTTATTACAGTGATGATAATGACTTCCCTTAATTTCATGATTCGGCAATCGCTGCGGTAAGATAACATTACCCACTTCAAAAAAACAATTTTGAATACGGTACTCTGACCTGATCGAACGGGTCAGTGGCGAAATATTTTCATGTGATAATTGTATAGCCTCGCTATACAATTTGCGTGGTTCCATACGTGGTCGATTGAATTATTTCAATTCGAACATGAGAGGAAGCAAAATACTGAATACATCAGAAAAAAACTTCCACACCAAAAGCAAATATTTTAGTAAAGAAAGCACAACAAAACTTCAAATGTTTCTTCACAGACTCCATGTTTATCGAACCCCTGTCAGAATAACGGCAGCTGTCGAGCTTTGTATTACCTCGAACATTTCTGGTGTGAGTGTCTTCCAAATTACTCTGGCAGATATTGTGGTGAGTTTAAATGAGGTCTGCTTAAGCCGCAGTGTTGTCCTTTCTTTTTTTCAGCAATTAGTTTATGAGATGTTCAACACGTTGTTCTTTAAATGTTCTCACATGGACATGACTATCAGAAAAAGTAGAATATATCATCAAAGGTTGAACGGCTACTGAGGCACTTACGTAAAAGCGACAAATTGAGCTAAGGGAACTTGAATAATCGCAAGACATTTCAGAACAGGTGCATGTTTGATAAGGTAGTAATATGTCCTTATCATCATTATTTTCCTTTCTCGTAGAGAAATGGCTGGTTGAACTACCTTACAATGTTTGCATGTATGGATTAAGCGATAGACCGGGATTATTCTACACACCTTTGGCCGGTAAAATCTATTTTATAAGGCTTGTTCACATCTCTGGTTCTGTGGGTTGTAGGATTAAGCAAAAAGCTAACTGGGGTTGTCATTCGAACATCGAAACCATTCTCACAGATAAAGATAAAAACGTTGTTTACCCAGAAGATCAGAGAGCTCATGCTTACCAGCTCTCTGGATTTTCAAAGAATTCCCCTGAACTGATGCTAAAATTCACTACACCACTGGTGGTAGCCGCTGGTCAAGAATATCAGGTGTGGTTTTTGGAAGACCTAACTGACATTCACGAACGCAATAACAACCCTGGACCATCCTGCATGAAGGTCATTTATTTGTTCAGCTTATGATATGGAACAAATGAATGAGGACGATATGAAAGCACGAAACGTGCACCAGGGAATGAGAATCATATGAGAAGTTAACGCTATCAAGACTTTTGTTTCTCAGAATGAAGTTTTTACCCCGCGCACTTTTCACTTTTTCAGAAAGCTTTTAGCTCGAAAAAACAAGCTAAGAAACAGAAGACTGAAAATAATTTACTTAAATGCACTGTTTACAAGCAGCTGTCTATTACAGACAATAAGGGCTTGTTTACATGAAGGTGGGGGACTCCATGTAGGTGAGGTAAGCCTCCGAGCCGTGGTCGAAAAATAGCCCGCGTTTATGTACAATCTTACAACCCTAGGATCCCGGGGTGAGGTTTTCAGCGCGCTTGTAAATGTATCATGAATGCGACCCTGGCTACGCGGTTACCCAACCTTTAGACGTTTAGATGGCAAATCGCGTCCCCGGCTAACAGGGTTACCCTACCCGGCAGACCAGGAAAACCGCCTAGGCGGGTTACCTCACCTACCTGTGGTCCTCTTCCTCCATATAAGCAGGCCTTAAAGCTGCCATAGGTATGGCGACAAAAATCCATGCGACGTAGAAACTAATGCGTTCATGATAGTTGAGATAGAAGACAATTGCACAATTTTGGTCTAATACTACGCTGAACCATCTACTCTCTACGCCACACCTCATCAAAAAATCAAACAGGTAATATGACGCAATCCTCGCCAACAAATCAGAGTGTATTCAGCTTTTTCGATAATTACCTGAACTTTTTAATAAAGCGCTGACCTGCAATCTACGGATTACCACTCGTCAGTTTATAGTCTCTTACCCTCGTCGCGTATCCTCTGCTTCTCTACTTGTACTAATGCCGACGTAAGAGGCCTTACTCTACAGTATTGCTATAATAAAATTGATTTAGAAGCGAAGGCGATCCTTACCTAGAGATAGTATGGCTGACTAAGGAGGGAATTCCACATTCGTTGCTGGTTCTGGTCAGCTCCTCGAAGTACAATTGAAGCGTTACCCTGGGCACAGCCTTTTATTTGGGTAAAAGACAGAAAGTCGTAATGATTAACAGAGCTAAACCCGTGTTCGAAATAAAATGAACAAACCTTTTCGGCTGTTAGCGTTCACTTCTGAGTCAGACCAAACAAACCATTGGGATAGTCTCTGGGTTTTGTTTTAACGAGGAAGTTGCCTCAAAATCGAGTTTAATATAAATCTTATCGTTTCTTAAAATATGCTCACTTATCGCGATTCCATGCTGTGTAAAGTTTATCAAACAACCAACGAAACAATCGTTATACTGAAGGACGCGACAAAACAGTTATCCCTTCGACTCTCAACAGTACCTATGTACAAAGAGGCACCAAAAATAGGATGCAACCTTTTTCGTCGAGAGACATTACCACATCACGGTTATGAATTAATGATATCGATCCTTCTTCATGTTGAAGATTCCATCTGTCCCTTAGATTCGAAATGTTCTACATGAGAGTAACTTTGCTTCATATTTTTCTGTCATGTAAATCAATTACATTCAGGAAGATTGAATCTTTCTCAGGCTTCGACGCGATTATCATTTTCGTGTCGCTTATTTTATCGACCATGATTTTCATGTTCTTGATGTACCCGAAGTCGAATCCATTTATGTCACGAATCAGAGAGTTTATCTGCTTCGGTGTTTAAAAAGATCAGCCATATTGGCCGGCTGCACAATAATACAACACCACTAAGACTGTTCCATGACGCTACTGCTCTGTAGGAGAACGACGACAAAACTTTCCGCGTGGGATGAAAAAAAAAGTAAACAAAGCGAGGCCTTTGCTTTCCGTTCGGCTTTTCATTTTTTGTCATTATTAATCGAAAATTGGGTTTGATTATTAAGACCCGACTTCGTTATTTGAGGAGTAAGAAATGACAAGTTTGTTCTACATCTTTTTTCCCGTAGAAGTTCATCACTTCACCTCTACTCCATGCATTAGCCCCAGTTTCCTATGTTACTCCTATCAAAGGTATTCTAACGTGAATCATTACAATGTGGTTTGAAGTTCAAACCGCGTCACTCCCCCTCCCTCTGTGGAAACCTTTTGTTAGAAGTTAGGTGAATGTTGTCGCATATCACAAGTATTTGCAGTGTCAAAGTGTGCTTTACCAAAAAGTGTACGATTAAGTACTAGATTTGAAGTCAAATCTTGTGTAATTAAATATTATCAAGCTTTTCTCGATTTTAATTAAAAAATGTAAAGTTGATTTTTCCGATCGATAAGATAAATCTTCGTGAAGCTCTTTGGAATTAAATAGTTCATCCAGTTAAAAATTAACTTTGCTTTCCCGAGCAATATTCAGAAAATGAAGCTGATTAATTATTAAGTGGACGCAAAGGGTTTCTTTTATAAACATAATCATAAAATTACAATTCTTTCGATTGGTTTAAAAACTCATATTTTATACTAATTCACATGCCAAGTTGTTATCGGACAGTTTGTTTGCGGATAGTTCAATAAGCCAATCACACTCAAAGTTGTACTTTAAATCAACCAATTACAACCTTGGTTTCAATCACCACAGAAACAGTGCATAGAATCCTGAATTGGGGCTTTCTTCAAAATGGAGAAATTTTCCCTTGAACATTTCATTGTACTGAGTCATTTTCAGAGCGACATCAAACAATTGAGGCCTCCTTTATCTTTCTTTTAAAGCAAATTTTCCCTTTCTTCAATAACTTGGCTATTCTTCTTTTATCGGAAATTGTAATTTTTTATGAATAATTGGTAATGAGACTTGGCGTCGTCCAATTCGGTCTGTAATCCTACTCGTAGTAAACAAATCGATGTTGTTATCACTCGTAGGATTACAGACCGAATTCGACTTCACTCAGTCCTTTTACCATGACATACTAATAAAAATTTGGATCGATTTCACTTCGACCATAGGAAGGGACTATAAAAATGCTATGTCAGAGGATCACACAATTTAAAAATGAGAAAAAAATGACTTGCATAAAGGAAGTAATACACTTTTGTTATGAGTGTGAAATCATAACATAACTTCCAATGTTCCTCTACAGACTCCGTGTTTATCGAACCCCTGTCAGCATAACAGCAGTTGTCGAACCTTGTATCAACTAAATGATATCTGGTGCGAGTGTCTTCCAAATTATTCCGGCAGATATTGTAGTAAGTATTTCGAGGGTGTTTACATATTCTTGGGAAATTCAAACTGTCACGTCGTCCTTGCGTCTGTTTTGTCAATCCTTTTCAATCTGACTGAAAATGAAAGCGCATACGCTATCAATTTCATCCCTCCAGGAGGTCGATTTTGTTCAGGGACCATTGACGTAAATTTCTGATCTAATGCATCTTACCATTATCGTCGAAGTTTAAGAATTGGTAGAATTTATCTTTAAACTGTTCAGCTCGAATAGTATACTTTTGTTACTTCTCTTTCTCTCCAGTACTCATTTTGATAATTTCCCCTTTTGCTGTCGACTGAAGGTCGCTTCCCCAATAAACGACTCCTATCATTAACGGGCTGACTAAAGGATTCAAACAAAACTCTAATCCAGACTTTGTATCCTTACACAACCAAAACCTCTCTGCCATCCTTAAACTGTTAACTTCAGAGTCAATTAATTTTACAGGGGGTATAGCTTTTGCTGCCGTTTACACAATTAAGAGACCCCAAGATTTGTTTTCAAAAGTTTTTTTTGAAGTAAATACGTGTTTTAAACAAGTGACGAGCGTTCTTGACATTACTGAGATGAAAAATTAAGTTTAAACGTTCAAAGATCATTTTTTCGCAAACCTGAATTTATATTAGAGGGTAACGTTGCCAAGTGACGGCTTAATCTTGTCCTGACCGATAAAATTTTGGAAAACATTCAACTCTCTTCTGGACATCCTTTTTTTCCTAGAAAAACAATCAGTTGAAATACCGGATGAGGTTTGCATGCATGGCAAAGGAAATCAAAATGGAAAGTTTTTCACTCCAGTGCAAGGTACAATGTATGCAATCAGGCTGGTGCATATTTCTGGCGCAGTGGGTTGCAGCAGCGGCACAAGCAGCAAATGGGGTTACCGAAACAATGATATCCTTACCATTATCACAGATGAAAACAACCAAGTTTTTTCCCTGAGAATCGCAATGCCTTTCCTTACAAAATCCCTGGTTTTACTTTTGATTCACCAGAGCTAATTTTGACTTTCAACACTCCACTGATGGTGGCCACTGGTCAAGAATATCGACTTTGGTTCTCGGAAGACCTCCGCGACCAGCATGAGGATAACAACGTAGGACCATCGTGTACGAAAGTGTTGCTAACGATGAAAAAATAACTTTTTACAAAAAAGGTGATAAAGTGGTCTGGAAAACGCTGACTATGGCAGCTGAATTTGTCATCTCATATTTTGTCTGCACCCTTAAACAAATTTGTCAAATAACAAAGAAGATGCAAAAGCCCTCTTGCTGGCAGAAGCCTCCATAGCAGTCCGAGCCTATTCTCTGCTCTTATTCGGTAAGGTTACGTAACACGCTCTCCCCAATTAATAGCGCGGCACGACCGAAGAACTTTTACTGAGTAGACTTAGTACAGAGGAGTGATATTCATCTTCCCTTCTATAAATAGGAATTTAGATTAGTTATATCACTTTGTCACTAACATTAAAGCCAAAGGAAAAAATTAACTTATGTCGGGGTTCAGTGGTCAATATCCAGCAAAACATGCAGAGGAACGAACTACAGTCGATCTTGTATGAAGCAGCACGGTATTTAGCGGTCACCCTGTTTCCCCTTAATCACGGTAATTTTAACCTCTATTAAGCGGTCACCTGACCTATTAAGCGGTGGTGTTCACCCTTAACCAAGTCCCAACGGCCTGTTTGTACTGTCTTCTACCTGTATTGAACGGTCACTTAGAGCGGAACCACTAAAAGAAAATTAAGAATAATCTGTCAAGTGATGTTTAATCCATGTTTCTCTCCCAAAATCAAAGTATGTAGTATTTTTGAGC